AGCACGACAGATCAGCATGTCACAATAAATTCGATCCACTGACATCTCTAAGCATTAAACAAAATGTAGCCCATATAGATAAAATCTGTACTTGATCAGTAGGGAATCACGTGCATTTTAAAGTTAACAAGTAAGGCATGATGCTGAAACTGATTCAAATTGGTTTACACTTTTATGTCACATAAGCAGCATGCCACATGTGTTGTTTTAAGTTTTGACATAAAATACAAGTTTTAAAATAAATATTTTACCCTTAGACATGAAAATTAAATTAAATAAAAAATTTGAAATATGGTCAATAATTTTAACAAATGCCTGATGAAGTGATTTTTCACAAGAATAAATCCTTCCAATATTTAATCGTGTACTCAAAAAAGTAAATAAAGTTTTCAGTATGTTTCTGAATCTGAGTATTTTAAAATGTAAATGATTCTAATTCATAATATTGAAGTTATTTGATTACATAATCCAGATTCCAGGCTTGCAGTGCTGCCCAGCACTGTCCAGAGCGGTTGGGCTTACTTTTTTAAATCTAAAATATATTTATCAATATACCATTTTATTTGTATGTAGGCCTATAACTATTATTAAAAGAGGTTAATATACAGATCTGTCTTTTTGGCTGATCATTCTTTATTCCATCATTGTGAAATGTTAATGTCTATCAAATCTTTGATTTTCAAATGAAAATAGTAAATTAATTAAATAAAATGAATGAAATAATGTCCAAGCATATAATGGTACAAGACACACAATTCTGTTAAGAAAATTAATTATTGGCTTGTTTAACCTTTACGTTGCAAAATAATTTGAATTCTGTTTTAGAAAGTCAATAGTACATTTGTTTGCTTGTTTTTTTTTTGCTTATATTATTATTATTATTATTATTATTATTATTATTATTATTATTACCTACTTGGGTCAAATACTTGATTTGGCCAAAAGAGGGCATAAATTCGACAATAGTTTGCCTGGTTGAGCAGGACATTAAACTATAACACGACTAACAATAAGAACGTCCATTAGCTTTCCTCTCGTATATAAGCAAAGCAGTTAATTACCAAGGTATTTTCTTATCGTTATGGAAATCCATTTGTCTTAAGATACGTTGGTAACTTGTGTGTGTGTGTTTTTTTTTTTTTTCATTTTGTATTCTTATCTTGTTTTTGTGATTTTGGTCCATTTCAGATGTCTGCTGCACGCGCTCTTCTTTTGCTGATATTTGGATTTACCATGCTGAAGTTCATCTGCTGTTACAGTGATGGAAGTTTATTGACCGACCAGTGTCAAAGTATGGCTATAGATCATGGAGTTCAAGCATCAGGACAAGATTCAAACCCTTTCACCGTCATTCCAGATAACGTGACCGTGAACAGTTCGCAAGTGGGAACGGGCATTACAGGTAGAATCTAAAGTGTTTAAATGTACAATTATGCATATTAGAAGCTTTCATCCACAAGCGGGGACAGCAGGGTACTATGTAACACTTTTTGGTTTTAAGAAAATAATGAACAAAGTAATGGGGTCAAGCAAACCAACTCTTTTTATGCAACAAAATAAAATAAACATATAATACTATGATCATTCATTACGAAAGTAGAAAGATAGCTACTGTTTTAAAATTTACGGTAACACTATAAAATATCAGTACGTGAATTATGATGTATTAATATGTAAACTAAACATTACTTTATTATGAATAAATCAATGATGAGTTAAGGCACTCTCTAATCATGAACTAACTTAACTAGCATAATTCACATGAGTTCATGTGTAAATAACGACCACCTTAATTACTTCTTAGCACATGTTGTTAATTAATGTATAAATTAACATTTAAGTTTAGGCTAAATGTAACCAACATGAACTCAGGAGCTGTTAATGTATAATTACATCAATGAACTGCAGTGTTTAAACTGTTCATGTTGATGTTGACTGAAAACTTTTCTATTATTATTCCATGTAGACCCAGATGGACGTGCAAGAAGAGTTCATGAGCGGATAAAAATGGGTTAATGATGATGTGCCCCTCTAAGTAGTAATGACATAATTATATATTATCAGCTTTCGAGTTAATGATGGTAAATTAAGTATAAACTAATGTGGTATAATACATTAAGTAAAAAACAATCATGTACTAACAAGTAATTGAGGTAGCTGTTATTCTCATATGAACATGTGACTAATGTTGTAGTTAAAGTTAAATCATATAGTGCATGCATCAACTCATTATCAGTCAATAATAGAGTTATTGACTCTAAAAGTAGTTTAGTTTACATATTAACACATCATTATTCATGTACTGTTATTGTAAAGTGTTACCAAATTTACTTTAATGTTGAAACAAAAACATTCACAGATTGGTCATTTTCTTTCACATTTCTTATACAACAACATTAAAGTACACAATTTATCTCACACACTGTGCAAATGATTTAAATTGTGTCCTGCTACAAATACAGGTTTAAAAGGTCTCATATACACTAAATGCTGATGTCACATATTGCTCTATATAGTAATTTTGCCAAATGATTTGATTGTAGCTTCATCAGGACAGGTTTTTCAGGGGTGGGGATTCAGATTTGTCAGGGGAGTCAGATTTCAATTGCCTACAACACTTTGACCGATCGTTTATGTCTATCGCCAAACATGCAGAGTAAAAATTATACTATTTACCCAATCTGCGGAGTTAGTTGGCTTATGGCTTGCAGTATGACTTGCAAACAAGCCCTTTTTAGGATTTAAATTATCATAGACTTTTTCCAGAGCTCTGGTACTGTTTGCATATCGACAGAGAGCTGGAAAAGCAAATCCAAGGCTGGTGTGAGCTCCTCAGCAAATGTTTTAAAAAGAAAACATGTTATGCCATCAAGTGCCATTGCCTTGTTATAACATAAATATTTAAAAACCATTTTAACATCTCCTTGATATATTAACATCCTATTTTAAAACATATTGCAATTTACTTTTCCTAAAATTTCTTCACATTCTTCCAAAGTATCTGTCTCAAATCTCATATAAAAATGATTCAGTTCATTTACCTTAACAGTTTTATTACAGGCAAATAATGAATTCTTTGTTGTCATGTTTGTCATTCTCCAAATCGAGTTCCAGAGTTCTTTTGTATTGGATTTTAAGAAATGTTGTTCAGCCTGTTTTTAATTTTGTATCTTTGCAATCCTTATCTCCCTATTAAGGTTCTTGTGTGCTACTCTAAGCCCCAATGAATCACCCGACTTAAAGGCCAATTTCTACCTTTTGATGCAGTCATTAATTTCCCCTGATATATGCGGTTTGTCCATGCAGAAGGAAAAATATATGCTGTGATAGTTTCAGTAACATTATCTATATTTTAGTCCTGATAATCCATGCAGAGGAAACATCCTTTGAGCTCCTCTATACTTTCATTATGTCTTATGTTCTTATGTCTGGTTTTAGCAACATAAGCATCCCTAATATTGCTTCACACTTCACATATTGAAAAAAAAACGGGTAAGATTTCTCCAGTCCACACTGATTAAAACCACGAAGGATCAAAAAGAGTAAATCAAGTTTATTTTGCAAGTGCTTATGAACACAATAGATCAGCTTATGAATGAGTGCTTATGAACATAATATTTGGTTTGCTGCTCTAATAGCAGTCCCACTAGGTGGAATATACACTGCACTAACAAACATGTTAGTAAATTCCCTCTGCAAATAAAACAGACATAATGTAACATAATAGTTCCAGATCATGGTTGCAAATGCTTTTTTGTCGCAAAATTTCGTCACCAGCGATCATGATATAGATACAGAACCCTCACCCTTATGTCTTACCAGAGTTCTCATCTTTGTCCAAGTGTAGATTGGAAAAACCATCGATTTGAATCAAACTAGTGAAAGTGAGTAAAGTCTGAAAGAATGACAAACTATCCCTTTAACACAACTATGACACACCTTTTTTAATCTCTCACACTTACACAATTGTTTCATGCTATTGAATTTAATATTGATTTATTTGAACCATGTTAAATCATCAACCAATAAATTATTTTACATTTATTCTGGCATACGCTCACTTTTAGGAAGCTTACTACACGAAGCTTTTTTAATGAGACCCCTTGCAGACATGTGAGATGGATGAGAGAACATTCATTCATTCATACACATTATTTTCGACTTGGTCCCTTTATTAATTAGGGGTCGTCACAACAGAATGAACCGACAACTTATCCAGCATTTGCTTTGCGCAGCGGATGCCCTTCCATGTGCAACCCAGTACTGGGAAACACCCATACACTCGTGCATTTACACACATACACTATGGCAAATTTAGCTTACTCAATTCACCTATAGTGTATGTCTTTGGACTGTGGGGGAAACCCATGCCAACACAGGGAGAACATGCAAACTCCACACAGAAATGCTGACTGACCCAGCCGAGTATCGAACCACTGACCTTCTTGCTGCGAGGCGATCACACCCACTGCTTCACCGTGACACCAATGAGAGAGCATGAATAAATAAATATTTCAAAATAAATTACAGCACAAAAGAGAGGAACATATTTAGTTTCTCTATTAATTTTGCCTGTTAGTTCATGGTTATATTTTCATGGCTAAACTTTAGCTAGGCGACTTGGTGGTACAGTAGAAAGTACTGTTGCCTCACAACAAGAAGGTCGCTGGTTCGAGCTTAGGCTGAGTCAGTTGGCATATCTGTGTGGAGTTTGCATATTCTCCCCGCCTTCGTGTGGGTTTCCTCCAAGAGCTTCGGTTTCCCCCACATTTCAAAGATGTGGTGTAGGTGAATTGGTTAAGCTAAATTGTCCATATTGTAAGTGTGTAAATGATGTATGGATATATGGGTGTTTCCCAGTTATGGCTTGCAGCTGGAAGGGCATCCGCTGCGTAAAACATGTGCTGGATAAGTTGCCGGTTCATTCCGCTGAGGCAACCCCAGATTAATAAAGGGACTAGACAGAGACAGAGTGCACACAAGAGAGGCCGAGAGAATATTAAGGTTACTATTATTAATTATCACTATTACTAATACTACTATGTTTACTAATTTGTTTCTGTGGGTTCTATTTAATGTAAAAATGAAACATGCTTTGTTAATACGATTGTAACATTTGTCAAGTTATAATTTAAGAGAATTTTTATTAAATTATCTTAATTTTTTTAAAGATAATTAGAGCAGTTTTGCTAAATTAAAAATGTTGCTTATAACTCTGTGTCCTAGTTGAAAAAATACTAAACATAATCATGCAAATAAAAAATAAAAATAAAAAATGGATTAATATCTTAAAAATATGCATTTATACTCAAACAAGTATTAAACTTTGAACAGATATGTTGATCACCATTAAATATAGGCCACTATTATATTTAAAAATGTAATAATTTGGGTGAATCAGTGGGTAGCGTCGCTGGTTCAAGCCCAGGCTGGGTCAGTCAACTAAGTTGGCCGTAGTGTATGTGTGTGAATGAGTGTGTATGAGTTTTTCCCAGTGATGGGTTGCGGCCGGAAGGGCATTCGCTGCGTAATAACTTACACTGGATAATATGGATTTAATAAATCATTAGGCCTTTAATATAATAAACTGATACATTATCTTTTCTTGCTATGGGTTTAATCAAAGACTATAAAATATTATAAAGGGACTTTGGTTTTATTCAGAATTTTAAAAAAAAACAAAGTTTTTTTAATCATCCAATTATTAAACAATGTTAGAAAACATTCACTGCAAAGCTTTCACAAATTCAACAGGAGAGAAAATTCTGTAAACTCGCTGATGTAATGACAGCTCCAATCATTGTTATTGCAGCGCTTTTACAGTAGGACACTGCAGTTAATGAAATTTAATATTACATGTCCCCTAAACATCTGGGAAAATTAAAGGGCACCAATGGTGAAAAATCTACTTTTTAAGCTGTTTGGACAGACGTGTGTAAGTATAGTGTATAGACCGTCATATTGGGGTGATATAAACACACCCAGTCCTTTTTTTTCAATTTAACAACATAAAATAGTGGATCAATTGGAGCGGTTTTGAGAGCGACCGCAACTTGACGTAGGAGTGCGGTCCCCCCGCCCACCAATATTGATTGACAGCCGCGCGTCACAATCATATCCTCAGTTTCTTATGGGTTGCAACTGAAATCTGCAGGAAGGTGGATCTCCAGGAACAGGGTTGGCCACCCCTGGTCTACGCTATATTTCCTACTATAGTCTACGCTACAGGAAAGATGTAGTTTAATGCTTTAAACTTGTTGTCTTTTCAAACTTGTCAGTAAAAATGTTTAACTCTTTTCCACAGTGACACTCTCGACTTCTTCTGTTCCATTTTTGGGCTATATGTTGGAGGCCCGTGAGTGTGATAATTGTCCACCTGCTGGTACATTTAGTGGGATTGACTCGGCCAACAGTCTGCTCCTATGTGGTGTAAGTCCTGCCAACCACCTGTACATAAGTTGGTTTTTGTGATTTATGAGGACTCTCCATAGGTGTAATGTATTTTTATAGCCTACTGTAAACCTCACAGGAGACATGTGGCAAAATATGAATGTGACAAATCCCTGTTAGCTATAATTTTAAACAGTTTTATCACAGAGCATGTCCTCGTAAACCACCTCAACAATGTAATACCTAGTTCCCCTTCGGGGGGAACTTCAGCACTATAAGTGTATTTGATGTTCTAAATCCACGTATGGGAGGATTCGGTTCAGAAGCCGCTCGTCTGAAAGAGTATTGAACGGGCCAATGAAAGCAATGAATTGGCAGCGCAATTTTGCGCAGGTGTGCTGCATCGCCAATTAACTGAGCATATAAGCACACCTGGCGCTAGCAAACGCTATCCTTTTCGCTTCAGAGACTTTTCTGATTGAGTTTATGAGGGTTCCTCCTGCTGATCTACAGCCACTTCGAGCGAACGAGTGTCTCCCGGTCCAGAGCGAGTCCACGCAGCGGCAGACGGTCGAGCTGGGTTTCTCCCTTGCCTGGCATTCCTTTGGGTCTGGTCCTCCAAGAGCGGTGCGTATTGCTGCAAAGCATCCTAAAAGAGCAACACAGTCGTGCAGCACGTCCTTTTCAGGATGGCGCTCCGACTGTGCGTTTCTGGTTGCGGGGGTTTCCTGGCTCCGGATGATGGGCACGATCACTGCATTACATGTTTGGGGGTCCAGCATGTTAATGTGGTGCTCGGGGGAGGTTCATGTCGTCACTGCGATGCCATGACCGTTGCGCAGTTGAGATCGCGGTTAGCTTTCGCAAGAGAGCGAGCCACCCCAGTCGCCTCCTGCTCTGCAGCGGGCGCTCGGGCAGATCTGAGGGCTCCAGCGAGAGATAATCCGCCGCCTAAGGGCTCGCCGACCTCTCGCTCCTCCAATCGCTCCATCTAAGCTTCGGGTGCACAGTAGGCTCACGCAGTCCTGGAGGGCACCTTTCTCTGCCCGCACTGCGTCCGCCTCCGCCCTCACCACCCTGGATGATGGAGCTGCCAAGGGGTATGAGGCGATCCCGCAGGTGGAGCGCCATTGCGGTCAATCTTTGTCCGCGTGGCGCCCCCACTTTGCGCGGTCCGCCCCGTCTCCCGTCCAAAGCCTGTAGGTTATCTGCCTCCCTCGGAGCTAGAGCTTACAAGGCTGCGGGCCAGGCAGCTTCCGCCTTGCACGCGATGGCCACCTACCAGCGCTACCAAGCGCAGGCGCTGGCCGAGCTGCACAAGGGTGGGTCTAACCCAGGCTTGTTACACGAGCTGCGCACGGCGACCGACTATGCTCTCCGGACCACTAAGTCCGCCGCGTGCGCACTGGGGAAGACGATGTCCACACTTGTGGTCCAGGAACGCCACCTCTGGCTAAACCTGGCAGATATGCGCGATGTTGACAAAGTTCGCTTTCTTGACTCGCCCATATCCCAGGCTGGCCTGTTCGGCGACACCGTCGGTGAATTCACCCAGGAGTTCAAGGCGGTGAAGGAGCAGTCGGATGCAATGGGCAATGTCATCTATCGGCGGGGCCGTAAGCCCGCTCCATCCCCTGCCGAGCCATCCACCTCCGCTGCTCCTCGCCGGGGGCGAAGCGGGCGCGTCTAGCACGCCGAAAGCCGGTAGCTCCTCCTGCCCAGGGCGCTGCTAAGTCCGGTAAACGAACCGCGAAGCGTCCCTGAGACAGGCCATCCGGAGAAGAGGAGACTTGCTCTTTCCCCGCTGGAGGGCGGGGCCCATATTCCAACGGTACTTTTCAGTGCCACCAAAGTTTCAAACAAAGAGCATTTTTCCCCTTCCCCAGATGTGACAGCTCAAGCCCTGCCAGTCTGGGACGCGCTGCCTCTCAGCTCGCAGGGTCTGCATGCTCCGCCAGCGGCTCTCGGGCGCTGGGGGGACCGTCTCCCTTCTCCCAGCCCCCAAGCCCCCTCTCCGGAGTCAGGGTGCGGAGCCAGAGCGAATCGCTCTCCTCCAGCTCTTCTGTGGGACCCTCGCGCTCCCCGGATCAGCACACCCGCTCCGCGCTGCCCCTCCGCGGGTGCATCAGCAATTGCTGCGATGACGTCATTAGCGAGGGCTCTACCTGCCTGGTTAGCGCGGGCCAGTCCCTTGCGGTGGCTTATACGTACGATCAGACTCGGCTACGAACTACAGTTCTCAAAACGGCCTCCCAAGTTCACGGGCGAGTATTTCACCAGGGTCAATCCCCTGTCCGCCCCTGTCTTGCGAGAGGAGATTGCTGCCCTCCTGGCGAAGGGTGCAATCGAGCCAGTACCTCCAGCCAAGATGGAGAGCGGGTTTTACAGCCCGTACTTCATCGTACCCAAAAAGAGCGGTGGGTCACGGCCAATCCTAGATCTGCGCGTTTTGAATCGCTGCCATCACAAGCTGTCGTTCAGAATGCTTACGCAGAGGCGCATCCTCCGATGCGTTAGTCCTCAGGATTGGTTTGCAGCCATAGACCTGAAGGACGCGTATTTTCATGTCTCCATTCTTCCACGCCACCGTCAGTTTCTGCGGTTTGCGTCGAAGGTCGAGCATGGCAGTACAAGGTCCTCCCCTTCGGTCTCTCTGTCTCCGCGGGTCTTCACCAAACTCACGGAGGGTGCCCTAGTGCCCCTGCGGCTCGCGGGCATCCGCGTACTCAATTATCTCGACGAATGGCTGATTTTAGCCCACTCTCGGGAGCAATTGACTGCGCACAGAGACGAGGTGCTCCGGCATCTCCGCCTATTGGGGTTGCAGGTCAACTGGGAAAAGAGCAAACTCGCCCCGGTGCAGAGGATCTCTTTTCTCGGAATGGAGCTGGACTCGGTCACCATGGTAGCGCGCCTCTCCGGAGAGCGCGCTCGCCTGCTGCTGAACTGTCTGAGGGAGCTGGACAGCAAATTAGTGGTCCCACTGAAATATTTTCAGAGGCTCCTGGGGTATATGGCTTCTGCTGCGGCGGTCACGCCGCTCAGATTGCTCCATATGAGACCACTTCAGCACTGGCTTCAAGATCGAGTTCCAAGACGTGCATGGCATGCGGGCACACACCGAGTCTCTGTTACTGCACTATGTCGCCGCACCCTCAGCCCCTGGAACGACCCCTCGTTCCTGCAGGCCGGTGTGTCTCTGGGACAGGTGTCCAGTCATGTTGTTGTCTCAACAGATGCTTCCAGCACAGGCTGGGGAGCCGTGTGTCGCGAGCATGCAGCTGCGGGCCTGTGGGTAGGTGCCCAGCTGCATTGGCATATTAATCGCCTAGACCTGTTGGCAGTGTTCCTAGCTCTCCGCCGTTTTTCTCCGGTGCTGGAGCAGCAACACGTGCTGGTCAGGACGGACAGTACGGCGGCGGCAGCGTAGATCAACCGCATGGGGGGTATGCGCTCTCGCCGCATGTCTCAGCTTGCCCGCCGTCTGCTCCTCTGGAGTCACCCGCGGCTGAAGTCGCTGCACGCCATTCACATACCAGGTATGCTCAACCGTGCAGCCGATGTGCTCTCACGGCAGCAGATTCACTCTGGAGAATGGAGACTCCACCCCAAGTCTGTCCAGCTGATATGGGCGCGATTCGGGGAGGCCCAGATCGATCTGTTTGCTTCCCCCGAGAACGCTCATTGCCAGTTGTTTTATTCCCTGACTGAGGGCTCTCTCGGCACGGATGCACTGGCCCTCAGCTGGCCTCGGGGCATACGCAAGTATGCGTTTCCTCCTGTGAGCCTGATCGCGCAGTTACTGTGCAAGGTCAGGGAGGACGAGGAACAGGTTCTGTTAGTTGCGCCCCTCTGGCCCAACCGGACCTGGATATCAGAGCTCTCCCTACTCGCGACGGCCCTCCCATGGCAGATCCCTTTGAGAGAGGACCTACTTTCTCAGGGACAAGGCACCGTCTGGCACCCTCGCCCCGATCTCTGGAACCTCCACGTGTGGTCCACAGACACGAGGAAGACTTAGGTAACCTGCCGCCCGCGGTGGTCGATACCATCACTTAAGCTAGAGCCCCCTCTACGAGGCGCGCCTACGCCCTGAAGTGGAGTCTATTCACTGAATGGTGTGTCTCTCGCAGAGAAGACCCTTGATCTTGCCAGATCAGTGTTGTGCTCTCTTTCCTTCAAGAGAAGCTGGATAGCAGGCTGTCGCCCTCCACTCTCAAGGTTTACGTTGCCGCCATCTCCGCTCACCATGACGCGGTGGCTGGCGGCACCGTGGGAAAGCATAACCTCATCATCCGGTTCCTCAGAGGCGCTAGGCGAATTAATCCAACTCGCCCCCCTCTCACGCCCTCTTGGGATCTCGCCCTAGTTCTCATGAGCATGCGATTTGATCCCTTCGAGCCACTCGATACAGTATCCTTAAGATTTCTGCCCCTGAAGACAGCTCTGCTGGTCGCGTTGGCCTTCATTAAGAGGGTCGGGGACCTAGAGGCTATTTCGGTCAGTGACTCGTGCCTGGAATTCGGGCCGGATTTTTCTCATGTTATCCTGAGACCCCGCCCGGGTTATGTGCCCAAAGTTCCTACCACTCCCTTTAGAGATCAGGTAGTAACCCTGCAAGCGCTGCCCCCGGAGAAGGCAGACCCAGCCCTTTCCTTACTTTGTCCAGTTCGCGCTCTGCGCATTTATGTGGACCGTACTCAGTCCTTTAGATCTTCTGAGCAGCTCTTTGTCTGTTATGGCGGACGGCAGCAGGGAAGTGCCGTGTCTAAACAACGATTATCCCACTGGATTGTGGAGGCCATTTCATGTGCTTATTTGAGCAGAGGTCAGCCGCGCCCCCTGGGAGTGCGTGCGCACTCCACTCGGAGCGTTGCATCCTCTTGCATCCACTCATCTGTGACGTGTGCAAAAGATGGCGCCTGTGTGTTTGTCGGCATGCCGTTTGCCTCGTCAATTTTTAAATGTCTGTTCGGCAACCATTCTATCAGTGCTTTTTCTTCTCTTATTCATGAGCTGCGTTGATGCATTAATTTCATATGATCGCCAAGCACTGTTAAACATTAGAGGTTTGTTGGAGAATCAACCCAGAGACTGCTCCATAACACATGACTACTGCTATTCATCGTTTCCTTTTCCCACGGCCGCGTTTGTTCGCCGGCTTCCGTGCTGTCTAATCTATCAACGAAAACGTCGCAGAAGAAGAGGAAATCGCGGAGGTGTCCGGGTGAGGATGAGGAAGGAAATTTCTATTTCATTGGCTCTACATACTGCGTGCTCATTTGTACCTACGTATGGTCACCGCGGTTTGCACCCGGCTCGACGCTCGTGGGACGTGAGATACACCTGTCACTTGCCTATCTTCCCGGACAAACGGCAGCTGGCCGAATTCGGAGCTCCTCCACGGGTGCGCATCCGACGTAGGGGCGTAAATCTCCAACACATCAAATCACTGGATTATGTTCATCAGTCAGATCTACAAGTCATTTCCCACATCAACATGGCTTTGTTGAACGCTAGATCTGTGTCCAATAAGACATTTATTTTGAATGACTTTTTTACAAGCCACAATTTGGACTTCCTTTTTTTAACTGAGACCTGGATTGGAGCGGGTGAGTCCTCTGTGTTCGGTGAACTTTGTCCTTTAAACTGTTCTTTTATCAGCACTCCTAGATGTATTGGGAAAGGAGGTGGGGTGGCTATGGTTTTTAGAAACTGGTTCAGATGTCGGACTATCTCTGTCGGGGACTTCACTACATTTGAATCCCAATGTGCTCTGATAGAATCGGATACCACTCCTTTTCTGTGTGTTCTGGTTTACAGGCCTCCTAAGCCTGATAGAGGTTTCATAAAGGAGTTTTCTGAATTTGTTTCTCATATAATCACATCTTATGATCGTTTATTAATCTTAGGGGATTTTAATATTCACGTGTGCTGCCCTGGAAAGCCTTTGGTAACTGAGTTTATGCATGTTTTGGATTCTTTTGGATTTACTCAGCATATTGTTTGGTGCTACACATGCACTAGGCCACACTTTGGACCTTATAATGTCCTACGGGTTTTCCATAGAAAATATTGTCATTGAAGATGCCTCCTTCTCAGATCATAAGCCTATTGTTTTTAACACTACTCTATCATATTTCTCTGGTACTACAAAAAGTGAAGGTTTTCACTCTCGCTGCATAAACTCTCTCACTGCAAATCAGTTTTCTACTATGTTTAATAGTAACAAAGTGTCTACAGCAATATTAGCTGCTGCTGAGCATTCCTCAAGTCCTGATGATTTAATTTCTCTTTTTAATTCTTCTTGTTCAGATATCTTAGACTGTGTAGCTCCTTTAAAATATAAGTATCCAAAAATGAAATCACAGCCATGGCTGGATGATCTCTCTCGCTCACTCAGACAGATTTGTCGTAAAGCAGAACGGCGCTGGAGAAAAGATCACCTTGTTGTCTCTCTTGAAATCTTTAGAGATGCACAAGTAAACTTTCAAAAAGCAGCAAAAAAGGCTAGAGCTACATACTTTTCAGACATTATTAATAAACATTCACACACCCCTAAAATTTTATTTGACACAATTAACGCAATAATTTCTCCACGTACCTCATGCAAAATTGAGCAGTCATCAGAGATATGTGAGAGATTTAAAAGGTTCTTTACTGAGAAGGTAGCTGATATCAGATCCTCTTTTGCCCCTCTCTGCCCTAGTTCCTGTGTGGACTCGACAGTTTCTTCAGCTACCTTCTGTAATTTTGAACCAGTGTCTCTCTCTGAGTTGAGGGGTCTAGTGTTTCAGACAAAAACTTCAACTTCGCCGTGTGATCCTATTTCCTCTAATCTTTTAAAGGAGACTTTCAACACAATAGGTTCTAGTATACAAGCAATTATTAATTCCTGCTTAGTTTCAGGCACTGTCCCTGCGTTTTTAAAGCATGCAGTTGTCCAGCCATTGCTTAAAAAACCCAATGCAGATATAAATTGCTTAAATAACTTCCGTCCTATCTCTAAACTTCCATTTATGTCAAAGGTTCTAGAAAGAGCTGTCTTATCACAGCTACAGCCTTTTTTTAAATCGTCCCATAAACTTGAACCTTTACAGTCAGGTTTCACTATGCACCACAGTACTGAAACCGCTCTGTTAAAAGTGTGGAATGACTTACTGCTGTCGGTAGATTCAGGCAGTAATGCAGTTTTGGTTTTACTAGATCTGAGTTCTGCTTTTGATACAGTTGATCATACCATACTTCTGTCACGTCTGGAACATTGGGTGGGCATAAAGGGTTCAGCACTTCAATGGTTTCAGTCATATCTGAAATCCAGGTCTTTTTCAGTTTCTGTTGGCCAATTTATGTCAACATCTGCCCCTCTTCTGTGTGGTGTCCCCCAGGGCTCTATTCTGGGTCCAATGCTCTTCAACTTATATATGCTTCCTCTTGGTAATATTATAAGGAAACATAACATATCTTTTCATTTTTATGCAGATGACTCTCAGCTGTATGTTCCTTTAAAATCTCAGAACTCCCTGCAGTCTCTAATTAATTGTCTTGAGGATATTAAATGTTGGATGGCAAAAAACTTCCTTCAACTTAATAATGACAAAACTGAAGTTATTCTCTTCGGCCCCTCAAAAACAAGAATGTCGTATATTGGGGGCTTGGGAAGTCTTGCACCGTATGTTAAATCGCAAGTAAAAAATCTAGGTGTTATCTTTGATTCTGAGCTTTGTCTAGAAAAACAAATTAGCTCAGTGGTTAAGAATAGTTATTATCAGCTGAGGATCATCTCCAGACTCAAATCCATTCTTTCCTTTCAAGATCTGGAAAAGGTCATACATGCTTTTATCACGTCCCGCCTAGACTATTGCAATTCTCTATATGTTGGTCTCCCCCAATCCTCATTGGCACGGTTGCAGTTGGTTCAAAATGCGGCAGCTAGACTTTTAACAGGCACCAAAAAACATGCTCATATCTCTCCAGTTTTAGCATCCCTTCATTGGCTTCCTGTTAATTTTAGAATTCAGTTCAAGATTTTACTTATTGTTTTTAAAGCACTGAATGGGCAAGCACCTTCTTATATATCAGAGCTTATTAACTTACAGTCAACTCCTCGGTCTCTTAGGTCCTCAAATAAAATTTTACTTCATGTTCCTCGGTCACGACTTAAACTGAAAGGGGATAGAGCCTTTGCAGTCGCTGCTCCTCGTTTGTGGAACCAGCTGCCACCGGATATTACACGTGCTTCTTCTCTCTCTATTTTTAAGTCCAGACTTAAGACACATTTTTATTCTATTGCATTCCCAGGCTTTTAATCTTTATTGTGGTTGTTGCTGTAATACTTTTATTCCTATTATTACTTTTATTGTTATCTTTTACTCTTTTAGAGTGTGTGCTATGGTTTTGTTCAGCACTTTGGTCAGTGCCAAACTGAAGTAAATGTGCTTTATAAATAAACTTTACTTACTTACTTACTTACTCTTGGGCGTGTGCACGCGGCGCTTCTTTAACAGACATTTGTAGAGCTGCGGGCTGGGCAACACCCAACACATTTGCAAGGTTTAATAATCTGCGAGTGGAGCCGGTTTCCTCAAGGGTGTTAGGGACCTTTGGTGATTGAGGAAACAACTCGGTGGGTGTTATAGCACGCTTGCGGTGCCTTTTTTCCCTAACACGGCGAGATGTGCACCCTCCTGTCTGTCAGTAAAGTTCCCCATTCGGTGAGCCCTGCAGATTCCTCCGAGGCCCCCAGCACTGACTCAGTGGAGGAGTCACTCGCTGGCCCACTACATTAGGTCAGCCCGCTGGTCAGCCCGCGTTTTTGGGTACAGGTGCCTGCTATGGACGATCCCCGCTGGTGATCCCCATATGCTTTTCCGCCACGGTTAAGTTCCCCCCTCTGGGTGGACCCGTGCTTTCCCTATCCGCTAACCACCTTCTTATGCACACTCCCCCTTCTCAGGGTTAGTCCATATGTATTTCCATTTGTTCCCTATTGGGTGCGGATGGTCTCCGCAGCGTCCTCCCTACTGGGATGGCACGCTTTCCAACGTACTGTCGTATATTCCTAGAATTATCTAGACGCTAGCGACTCCCAAATAAATATACCTATTCCGTAAAGCTTCTTTTGAAGTGGGGATAAGTTAGGGCCAAGGGCACGTTGGAGGACCGCGCCTCTCATGATTTGGGTGCGTCACGCTTGCCTGACTGCCCTCTCATGGTGAGTGTTGGTAAGGTCCAGTCATTATGGCGCTTTCAATGGACACCCATACGTGGATTTAGAACATCAAATCCACTTATAGTGCTGAAGTTCCCCCCGAAAGGGAACGTTCGAGGTTACTAAAGTAACCCTTTGTTCCCCGAGGAGGGGAACGGAAGCACTATACTCCGTCGCCATAATGACTGTCCCTTAGCTGTTAAAAGTCTCTTCAGCTTAAAAAGGATAGCGTTTGCTAGCGCCAGGTGTGCTTATATGCTCAGTTAATTGGCGATGCAGCACAATTGCGCAAGCTTGCGCTGCCAATTCATTGCTTTCATTGGCCCCTTCAATACTCTTTCGAGCGGCTTCTGAACCGAATCCTCCCATACGTGGATTTAGAACATCAAATCCACTTATAGTGCTTCCGTTCCTCTCCTCGGGGAACAAAGGGTTACTTTAGTAACCTCGAACGGTCATCCCTATGTTATTTTACAAATTTGTGTCCTCATAAACCACATAAACACGCACACACACACATCCTTTTACACTTTAACTCTTTCTTACAGGCTTCTTAGAGCAATTGTTAAATGTTAGCAGCTGTAAATTTTATAAACTAAAGTCAGGTGTTTATCTTATGTATTTATTAGGACCAGGCCGTGGCTCATCCCAATAACAACGATAAAACTTCAGTCCTAGTGACGTGGACTCCTCAAGCCACTGGACAGTTTTACTTCAGGTAAATTCTTGTGATGCTTTAAGGAAAACCAATACATACTTTACAGGTTGTCCAAAGCTTTTTAAATAAATTAAGTTTTCATTGTATTTTATATAATATTTTGCATTATGTGGAGATTAGCACTGTGGGTTACGGCGATCACTAGGCCCAAATTTATAAATTAGCTCTAGGACATAAATAAAGGGAAAATTATTCATGGTTTTATTGCAGTTTATACTGCTGGTTTGTAAATCTCATATCTGGTTTTCTTTTCAGAGCTGCATTTGTCCAAACTTTCAGTTTCGGTTGGCAAAAAAAAGCAATCATACTCCCAACGACAACAACATTGCCGCCGACAACACCAATGACAACATCACCGCTGGCAACAACCCAGTTAATGACACAGTCAATTATGCACACAATGACGCCGACAACCACACAGACAATGACGCAGACAACTACACAGACAATGACGCAGACAACGATGCAGACAACGACACAGAAAACAACATCGACACCGACCACGACACCTACAACGGTGCAGATGATGATGATGACAACAACCACTACAACAACTACTGACACCCCCGCTACTGTAACAACTAGGCATACAACAATAGGTAATAAAAAACATCCATATACATCAAAAGAATCAAAACTCTCAAACCCTCCACTAACAACTGTGTTTGAGTTCATTTCAGTTGAACACAAAATAATACATATTGAAAAATGATGGAAATCAGTAGCCTTTGAATTCTATATTATATTTTACTACAATGGATGTCAACGTCTACTTGCTTCCAGCATTCTTCAAAATATCTTGTTTTGTGTCCAATTAAAAATCTCAATGGCTTGAAACCACTTGAGGGTGCTACATTTCTTTCTTTCTTTTTTTCTTTCTTTCTTTCTTTCTTTCTTTCTTTCTTTACTGGTTGAAGTAGTATCTGAAACAGTAGCATTTCTGTATATTTTTTAATGTTTTATTGTGTATGCAAATCATTCACTTTCTCCTGCTTTCTCCTATTTAAAAGCACACACACAAACACTTAAACTCAAATGGAAACACACTCACGAATAAAGTGTCTGTTGCCAGTGCTACTTGTTATGCAAATCTAAATTTACATGACTTTCTGAAAGTAATGGTGTTCTTGTTCTTGAAGCAGAATATCTTATGGTTAGCATTGCTGCTGCAGGATACACACACACACACTCAAACTCTAATATCATTATTATTGAATGCATTATTAAGTGCAAGTCAGGTCTCTGTTACTAGCTATAAAAAAACATTTTGAAATTAACAGAGGCTATAGATGGACAAGTAACTATTACAAATTAATGTGATTAACTACTGAAAACCTGATAACATCTTGTATACAACTACTGAACATGTCTTGATCTGTGGCTGCCATACTTTAAGAGGAATAAATCACAATGGGAAACCTAATTAATTTAAAATGATGCACACTTGATGTAGTGATATGGCTACGACTCAGAGCACTTGATTTTAATTCTAAGTCCAATTTAATTTTAAGTCCAATATAGGAAAACTGATATCTTTACCTGATATTCAAAGATACTGGTCTTATGTTGATGTAGATTGTTGAAGAGAAAATAATTTTCTAGATATATGTATAAATGAAAGCAAGACTACTTTTTGTAATGTTCTCATCATGTCTCACAGACACATCCACTGCACCACCAACCTCTGCAGTCAACAGTACACAAACAGGTCTAACTGTATTCACAACACCAAACCTACAGGCTACAGGTAATTATTGTCTTCATATACAAAATCAAATGTATTAAGTAGATTTTTTTTAAGTAAGTAAATGTATTACCTAAAGAACAATCAAATAGAGAATTTTCCATTTCTGTGTGTCTACAGTCAGTATTATGCACAAACAGATCCAACTGCAAACACAACATCATTTACAACATCAAACACACACTCATATATAAAGAACATGATTAGCCCTTTGTGAAAATTGTATATTGTATATATTGTATGAAATACATTCTACAATTAATGATTGAGAGCAAGGACATTTTTACAGTATATCCTCTAATTATTTTTCTTCTGGAGAAAAATAATAAAATAAATAAATAAATAATAATAATAATAAAATAATAATAGTATTAATACTTTATGTGTTAACAATATTATTTACCCTCTTAAGAAATCATTTTATTATTAGGAAATTAAAAACACACCACTGCTCTCAGAAATAAAAAGCCAAAGCCAAGAGAACAGTAACAGTACCATGATTCTGGCACTGATGGTTTATAAATACACTTTATTAGGTACACCTGTCCAGCTGCTCATTAACACAAATTTCTAATCAGCCAATCACATGGCAGCAACTCAATGCATTTAGGCATGTAGACATGGTCAAGACGATTTGCTGCTGTTTAAACTGAGCATCAGATTCCGGGTGCACTGTATATATAACAGATTTGCCAAAAACCAGGTTATTTTAATGCATGTAAACAGTGAAATAACCCACAATGGGAAAAATAACTATTATAAAATAAAAATATAGTAAAAAAAAAGTCCAACCTTGGCAAACTAAACTCTTGTAGATTTAACTAAACACACATGTAGATTTTCTGCATATTTTCTGCATATTAGTGATTTTAATGCATAAAATACAGTATATGCATTCATGCTAAGTATATTTTCTGTTTTTGTTTCTACAGTTTCTGCAGTCAATACTACACAAACAGATCCAACTACAAACACAACATTAACATCAAACACACAATCACAGACTACAGGTAAATGACAACATTATATACACACAGTTGAGGGCAAATTATTTAAGCCTCCTGTGAAATATTGATTCTTTTTCAAATATTTGTCAAACACTAATGAAGCGAGGAAAATTACAGTTAAAAAATAAAGTGCATCCTTAAAAATTACATATGGGATAGTTTTTACAACATAAATAATGTAATTTCATTTCAAAATACGGATAAATAGACTTAAGCATTCATCTAGTTGTTCAAAAACCTTACTGTCTGTGGAGGATGAGGGAGCTCTCAGATTTCACCTAAATATTTTAATTTGTCATTTGAAGAAGAACAAAGGTGTTAATAGTTTGGAATGACATGAGGATGAGTAATTAATAAGGAAAAAAAAAGATTGATGGATAGATTTAACAATAATAACTCTTGTCATCTGTTTTCATTCACATGTAGTGACGCCATCATATCTTTTGCAGTGTGTGCGGTATATGGTATGTAGACTATAAATATATATTATAGTACAAATGCTAATGAATCAGCATGTTGCATGATAATACCACAGACATTCTAACACTTTGCACATTTAGTCTTCATTTTTACCCTATGAATTGTCATGTTGTAGTTATCATAACATGTATATTTTAGAATCTATACATGTTGTTTTTATTTTTGTGTGCATATTTGTATGTCTATGCCTGTCTGTCTGGCTGTCTGTCTGTCTGTTCACACCAGAGAGGTGGTGTGGTACTGTTGTTATTCAGCAGACTTTGTTTTCTTGGAGGCTCTTCTCTCCTCATGATCATCAAACCAGTTTCAAAGATGGTAAGTGTGTCCAAGAACAAATGTACAATGTCAGCAACATGATTCTTCCAGCTTAAGTGATAGATCACACAAAAATGAAAATGTACACACTATTTACTTACCCTTAAGTGCTTCTAAACCTTTATGAGTTTCATTTTTTCTGTTGGATGAAGATAGTTTGAAAAATGTTAAAAAAATGGTAACTGTTGACATCCAAAGTATAAAAACAAACACTATGGAAGTTAATGGTCACCAGTTTTCAGACGTCTTTTGTGTTCAACAGAAAAAAGAAACTCAAACTGGTTTGTGACAAGTGAAGAGTGAGTAAATGATGACAGAATGTTCAGTTTTGGGTGAACTATCCCTTTAAATTCAATTAATTCATATTAGTAAATAACAAATATATACATTGTGTGTCTCCTCAAAGCCCACCCAGATTGCATCCATCATTGAACTCATATCCAAATTTATCACTACTATCCTTGTACTAATAAAAGCAGTTCATGTAAGTATTTTTTCGAGTACATTACAGTTTAAGAACTTTCTTCAAACTGAATATGTGGTTAAGATATGAAGCAACATTTGACATCTAATTTAGTTCTCCTTGTTGTGTCTGTTAATGTTTGTGGCAGTATGACTGTGAGAATGCTGGTTTGCAGTTTTTGTTTGCTGCTTTAATAGTGACTGCAATGATTACAAGCCTGATGCACACCATCACTGTTTTCCTTCACCGCGGACCAAGCCATGAATTGTGAGTGCTGACTTTACATATCAGCCCAAATATAATGTGACCAACCAGAAATGAAAACAAACAGGTTTCCAAACCAGTTTTTGTCTGGTATTGGTCAGAAAAAAGACATTGGCAGGAAGTTTTTTAAGGGTTTTTTACTGGTCTGGCTTTTAGTTTGACTAATAAGGCCAGAACTACTAAACAGGACAAATTAACATGAGACCAAAATTCCATAAAGATGCAGATGAGAGTGGATTGTCCTGTAAGTACTGACAGTGTTCAAATGGACGAACGGCATTTTTTTAAAGAAGGTTTCTTTAATGATCCATTTTTTTAAATCTAAACACCAACATTAATCTATTAAAAACAGAGGGGAATTGCATACCCATCTATGTATTGATATTATCATTGTATGTACAAATATGTGTGTCATATCAAATGATAAAAGAAATGTCCCTAGAAGTGGACAAAACACCTGAATTGATTTGACAAAAACACATCTGAACACGTAATACCATATATATATATAAAGAGTCTTATACTGTAAGTAAGTATATATATATATATGGGTGGCGCAGTGGGTAGCACGTTCGCCTCAGAACAAGAAGGTCGCTGGGTTGATGGGTCGCTGGTTCGATCCTCGGCTCATGTGCCGTTTCTGTGTGGAGTTTGCATGTTCTCCCTGCGTTCGCGTGGGTTTCCTCCGGGTTTCCCCCACAGTCCAAAGACATGCGGTATAGCTGAATTGGGTAGGCTAAATTTTCCATAGTGTATGTGTGTGTGTGTGTGTGGATGTTTCCCAGAGATGGGTTGTGGCTGGAAGGGCATCCGCTGCGTAAAAAACTTGCTGGGTAAGTTGGCGGTTCATTCCGCTGTGGCAACCCCGGATTAATAAAGGGAATAAGCCGACAAGAAAATGAATGAATGAATAAATATATATATATAAATATATTATATATATAAATAAATATATATATATGTATGTATATATATATATATATATATATATATATATGTATGTATGTATATATATATATATATATATATATATATGTGTGTGTGTGTGTGTATATATATATATATATATATATATATATATATATATATATATATATATATATATATATATATATATATATATGTATTTTGAATTTAATGTTCAAAAATCATTATCTTACAGAAGAACATGTTGGATTGTTTCTCTCATAATAGTTGACCTTCTAAATACACTCATTACATGTAAGTTTTTCCCCATATTCTTTAATGTTGAATAACCTTTTTATTTATTTGCTATTTTGTACAAATATTTATTAGTGACCTCATTTTCTCAAATTGGCATAGATGTAAATACTTACTCAACTAAAGCTCTTAAAAGCTCAGATAAAGCTGATAAAATCTTTTGTTTGTTACTGATCTTCTTTTTTTCTGTTTATACTGTAGCCATCTCAATATTTTATGGGCTATGGTGGTTTCAAGGACGCTGGTTAATTATAGTAATGGCAGTTTATGTGATATTGGAGTTTATCCTTTACCTCGGAGCAGCTGTTTTTAAACAAAAGGAAAAACACAAGACAAGAAAAAGATTGGAACGTAAGTATATTTGGTACAAATATGCTAAAGGCTACATGGTACTAGACTCTAGACAGTTTTAGTTTTAAAGATTTTCACTGTACTTTCTTGTTCTGCACTGAAAAAGAGATCCATTAAACTGAATTTACTCATGAACACACAGTCTCATAGGATTTTACTTGTATTTTACAGAAAATCATCCTGTTCAAGACAACACGGTATGTGAACTTTTCATCTGTCCTCACTTATTTGTATACATTAAGTCTTTCTAGTTTGAGGCAATCTGCCCAAAGGGATAGTTTATTTGTTGTTTACTTGTCTTCAAGCCATGCAATTTTTTTCTAAAGCAGAACATTAATGAATATTTTTGCAGAAAACATTTATAAAACATTAGGCCTCTTTCCACTGAGCCATACGGTTTTCCCCGATCTAGCTTGCGCTATTTTCCATGGCTAACAGTACCCTGCAAACTCATCAGAAGTGAAAAAGAGGACAACCCATATAGTGCACAACGTAAATGAATATTCCCTCTTATTGTTTTATATTTTTATCCAGTAATATATTTATCTAATATTAATGTGGTCACTTAACATCTTTCCTAAAGATGAATAGAAAGAGAACAATTCAAATGAGATGTTGCAAAAAATATATATATACAAACTACAAAATTTCAACTACATTAAAAAAATTATTGTTTTTTCATCTTTATTAAATTTTTAAATGTATATTTTTCCCGAACATATTCATTGATTGGGGTGTATTCATTTTTGCACCGTGACCTGAAATTACTTTGTCAGATTAGTTCCAGTTTGGGCTTGGTTAATGAAATAATGATATAATTAATAAATTTATGTATTAGTTCATTGGGGATTCACTAATTTTAAATGAAACTGAAGGCCTAGTTGTGAAATGTTTGGTTCACACCTCCTGTCTGAGTAAATGGACATAAACATGTAATGTGCTGTATTAAACATTACGACTACATAAAAAAGATCTATACCAACATTTTTAGAGACAATAAAATGTATAAAAACATTTCCAGGCAAAATAGAAATAATAGTGTGGATGCTGGGGATTTGATGGCAATTTCTTTTGGTCTGTGCAAAAATTTAAAATGAAACAGAATGTTGTGAATGCCCTCAGTGCCCGATGCCCATGGCTGTGGATTAAAGGTAATAATATTATATGTAATGTTTCTTTTTGTACACAGACCAGTCATTTTGCTTTATTAGTTATCATTGTCAAGATCCACATATATTAATTTTGATTTAGCTGTGTGTTTATTTATAGTCATTTATTTCCATTTAATGCCGCACCTTAAATCAGTTTTCTTTTTTATTTGCAGAAATCCCCATGGGTCTTTATGTTTGTCATTTGTTTAGTGTTTTATGTAATGTTTACAGTTGCACTTATTGTAGGAGTGTCTTTGCTTTGCTTTCAAACTGGATCTTCCTGTATATTGTTCAGTTAGTGTGTGTGTGTGTGTGTGTGTGTGTGTGTGTGTGTGTGTGTGTGTGTGTGTGTGTGTGTGTGTGAGTGAGTGTATGTATATGTTTATATATATAAATGCATCTTTATAAGGACCTGCCTGCTTGGATGAGATTTTTTTTCTCTGTTTTGCACGAGCCAATTTATTGCACTATTTTCTTTAGTATACTTGTATCTGTTAAACTTTGTGTAGAAACGTATAGTGTAATTTTTGTGATCTGAGTGGCATCATTTGATTTGATTTGAAATGCAATCCAAAGGTCACATAATTTCTTATTATTTGCTTGGCTGCTGCACTGTCCACTGTATGATGGACATCTTAACTCTTTCTGAATTCTGATTGTAATTTTAAATTGTTATTGTTTGTTATGTTATTGTTTATGCACTTGATGTTGAAATGTTTTTATATTTGATTACAAGTAAATTTGTCACTTTGAGGCATTTTTATTGGCTCCATTTGTATTTGTGACATTGTGATACGCTTTGAAAATAAATTAAGTATATCTTTTGAAAATTTTGACAGCTGAAGTCTGTATTGCTGTGGATTTGTTTGCATTTTAGTCATCTTATTCACAAAATGTTTATTATTATTTCTGACCCATTTTGAGTCATTTTCAACCAGCAGTGCAGTGCTTTTTAACTAAAAGTTTGGTTAAAAATCACAACCCAGCATGCTGGGTTAAACATACAAACCTAGCTCAACAAACAATCCAGTGCTGGTTTTGGTCCTTTCAACCCAGCGCTGGGTTGCCAAAATAACACAAATTTTGAACCCAGCATTTTTAGAGTGTAGTCCAACAAGCTTTAATGTGTCGATGTGTCAGCAGCACTTGTTCTAATGAAATGCAGACATTTGAATAGACAACAATGAGTTAAATAAAGAAATTCCAATGAAAAATATTATTCAAAGATCGTATACTGTGTAAATTTGCTTTGTCAGATTGTCTTGCAGTATGATATTTTTGTAACAATGAACCACTACACCACATAACAAACAAATAACAAAGGAAATTTTGCATTACACTTCCTCATGTGAGTCAGTCCATAAGCCTAACAATGATATTTAATCTGAGGGAAAACCAGTTCTCCAATCAACGGTTCACTTTTCTGCCCACTTTATGACTGCCAGAATTATATTGGGCTTGACTTTCTAATAAAAAAATTATATATATATGTTCCAGGTATTTCGAGCAGCAGATAACAGATCAGCTTTGCAAACATAACCCAGTTTGTCAATTTCCATCATTTTCAGTCTGGTTTAAATTTGCACTGTTTGCTGACCATGCTGACATTTATTTTTTTAATTAGTCTCATTTTTAACAAAATTTTGCAACATTTTGAACTTGAAACGCAAAGACCAAAAGTTTGTGGTCTTGAACTTTTTCCCTATATTTGATGACATTTTTAGTACTTTCCAAAACCTTTTCATTCATTGTTCCTCACTGGTGGAATAATCTTTCCATTCCCACTGACTGCTGATTCACTTGTGTCATTTATGACAATTAAACATCTCTTGAGTGATCCCCCCTCTTAGCTCTTAATTCTCTGAGCACTAACTATTCCTTTGTATAATAACCACTTTGTTTGTATTGTTATCGTCTAATTACAATTACAATTGGGAAACTTTTGTAATGAATTCACTGAAGCCAAGTGTTAAAACCCAAGTGGAATCTTTAATGAAGCTATAAACACATAACCAAAACTCAAAGCTTGGCAAAGCATAATAAAACAAACCCACTGACTGTGGGGTAACACATAAATCTCGACAAGGAACAACTTAACTAGAACAATCAATGAGGAACACATGACTAAATCAACCAATGAAAAGATTCCACAAGAACAAAGGAGCAAATACCCAGCAGGAAACAGGAAGACAAGACTAAACGACAAAATAAACGTGAAGGCTGTGTCAGAAATTGCATACTTCCATACTATATAGATACTATATAGTGCGCTAAAAGCAGTATGTGAGCTGCATCCTTCATGAATGGGAGTGAAGCAATGCAAATAACATGGACTGGTCATGTGATAATGACAAATGTTGTATGTAAAACTATTAGTTTCATTCATACTCACATTCATAATATAGAACATACTTGTCTAATGGTCATGAAGTAAATTCAAATGTAGTACCTACTTGAGTAGTAGCCGATTTCAATGCAGTGGCGCAGTAGGTAGTGCTGTCGCCTTACAGCAAGAAGGTCGCTGGTTTGAGCCTCGGCTGGGTCAGTTGGCAATTCTGTGTGGAGTTTGCATGTACTCGCTGTGCTCGCATGGGATAAATGTGCTGGATAAGTTGGCGGTTCATTCCGCTGTGGCGACCCTCGGATTAATAAAGAGACTAAACTGACAAGAAAATGAATGAATGAAATGGACCAACATGTTAAATATGTGTGTGATTGAATTCAGTTGTAAAAAAGGATTAAAAACAAAGTTTAACTTTGAAGAGTTAAAGCAATGGCAGTCATTTGGTGGAATGGCCCTTAGAAAACGTGAAAAAGCCAATATTCAGTCACACAAGGTATGAAACTACTGTTGCAAGCACTTTAAACCTACAATATCTGGCTCTGAATCTTCTTCCTGGACCTGATGAGTCACGTAAACAGGTCACAATTAATGCAGGATTACATTAAATTTCCATTGAATGCCCGCCCGCATGAGACGTTACCCACCCATGACTGCATGGAAGACTACCCATGCATGACTCAAAGACTAAAGTAAATATTGACTTGGGTTTTGATTTGTTTTCACCTATGAAATGTGTTAAACTCAATAGGGCAAAGCTCTCCAGCAGGTTAAACCAAAGTCTTTGTAAATGGATAGGCCAGGCTATTCAACTTTAATTCATCCAAAAATCAACTCCCCCTGCTTGCTGTGATAGGCAAAAGCACATTTAACTACCATTTAAATGTTGAATTCATTTTAGGATAGACACGCGTTCATAATGTCACAACAACAAGGTTTTTATATCTCTAAAATCCCATTAAACATGATAATTTGTTTCTGTTTGATATTTGTAACACTGGGACAGCTGCAGACAGATTGATGATTAAGTTGCGGGCGCCATCTTACGGCAAAACCCGGAAATTCATTCGCCATGATGATCTTTACAGTGCATTATGGTTTAAAGAAAACCTTGATTGGCCTGTAAACAAAAACTTCAAACACAAAACTGGTTGTAGCTTTTTTGAAATAATAATTGGCCATTGCGCCAAAACTATTGTTGAAGAATCATTATCAAAAGTTTCAAATAATAAAAATAAATAAATGTTTTGTTAAAAATGTTTATTTTGTATTTATACGAGTATAACACAGTAAATGTGTAGTTGCGCCGATGAGTAACATAGACTGGGGCTTCAAAGATTAATCTGATAAAAGAATTTAACCCTGACAGATCTAAACCATTGTTGAAATTCAACCATGGCTAAAATATGGATATAAAATTATTTAAATGTAGCCTACAAACAGTAAAATTACTGACTTTGAATAACAAAATGCATGTAAATTCTTGAGACACCTGTTATGTGAATCCCTCACGTTCTTTCTCTCGTGCATCTTCGGTCTTTGTTTTCGGTTCGCTTTTGTTTAGTTCGCCACCTTCAGCCACTGACACTGACACTTTGTTGGTTTGTTACTATAGTTACGGTCCACGACATGCTTGAGGTGATGCCAGTTTAAAGATTCCAACGCAAGACGCGGAGAAAACTCACCTGCATGCTTTTCTCTCAACTCTATACGCCCACCACAACACAAAAGTCAGGCAAGTCTGAGACTAAAGTGCACATTAGTGGAAAAAGATTTTAAGGCTGTCTGCATTAGCCTATACTTTAATCAACAACAAAAAACTAAATTAAAACTGAAATTAAAATATTTGGCAATAACTTTCTTTTTTTTTTGTAATTATGCAGACCGTAGATTATAAGGTTTTTTATTTTATGCTTGTGTGTGTGGTATTTCTAAATGGTAAAGCATTATCGGGATTTTTTTTACGTAAACCGTAAACCGGGACCGCAGAACCACAATATGAGCTAAACCGAAACATTTGGTGAGCCGTCCCACCCCATTTAACTTAAGTGAAGTTTACAGAAACTTACATACAGTTGAAGTCAGAATTATTAGCCCCCTTTGATCTTTTTTCTTTTTAAATATTTCCCAAATGATGTTTAAAAGCAAGGACATTTTCTCAGTTTGTCTGATAATAGGCCTATATTTTCTTCTGAAGAAAGTCTTATTTGTTTTATTTCTGGAACAAAAGCTGTTTTAAATTTTATAAACACCATTGGTCAAAATTATTTGCCCCTTAAGCTATTTATTTTTTGATAGTCTACAGAACAAACCATCGTTATACAATAACTTGCCTAATTAGTTAACCTATTAACCAAGTTAAGCCTTTAAATGTCACTTTAAGCTGTATAGAAGTGTCATGAAAAATATCTAGTCAAATATTATTTACTGTCATCATGACAAAGATAAAATAAATCAGTTATTAGAAATGAGTTATTAAAACTATTATGTTTAGAAATGTCTTGAAAAATATTCTCTGTTAAACAGAAATTGCAAAAAAAAAAAAAAACTGGGGGGCTAATAACTCTGAATTCAACTGTAATAGAAATAGAAATGCTGACCTATTTAGATGAAGAACTAGGTTAAAACACATATAAAGTTAGACAATTTCGACAAGTAAATGTAAGTAAAACAAAATCCCAGGCAACAACCAAAGGTCAGACGCAACAGGTCTTCGAGAAGGCTATTACTGTGGAGGGGATGAGCAGAGAGGTAGATTCAGCTTCAGTCTTTGTGTCTCCAATGAAGAACACACACATACACAAAGAATGCTTATCTATTTCATTTAAACTTAAACACTAAATACTGAACTACACTCTTCCAATTTGCTATGACATTTTATGTGAAGCTGCTTTGACACAATCTACATTGCAGAACCACTATACACATAAGGGTGAATTGAATTAAATATTTCATGGATTAAAATAAGCATCCAGAACAGCCCTTACACACAATGACAGCAGGATCTCAGATTAAATACAAATTACAATAGAATTAAGCTCATTTCTAACATGCAGTCTAATGACCTCTTAAACTAGTCTGGGAAACAATTAACTTAGCATACACAGGACAGCAGACAAGCACATTTATTCCTTATTAGAGAAACATTCATAATGATTGAAACGTTAAAAAACATAAAAAGGTAATATATACAAATGAATCCTGGAGCAGTCATCAATCATGATCCCCAATCCAAGTGGATTAGTCATATCTGTCTGCAACAGGCAAAGGTGAATTCTTTTGGTGTTTTGAATCACCCTCTGGATGAATTGTATTAGAAGTTTAAGTAATTTAGAGTATAAAATTGAAAGTTGCCATCCGTGTCTGATTAAAAACCCATGTCTGAATTGAACTGAGGGTCCAAATTCAAATAGCCTTTTTTATCGGAAGGGTAAACGTAACCATAACTGGATGGAGAGTCTGATATTAACCAAAAATCTATTCTAGATCTAAGTGAACTTGAAGTGTTAGACCAAATGAATTGTAAAGTGTGAGGATGTTTTTTGAGACAGTCTAGTTGGTGATCTGTCTAAATTATCAGACTATTTAGATTTGAAAAACTTTAAACATGATTCGGATTAATTAAATAACTTAAGGTTATTTTATCATATTAAACAGGCTACATGAAAAAAAAAAGCAAATGGCCTTCGGGATCAGATATTGCCTCTATAATACACTTGAACTTAAACACCTGCTAAAAAAATGAAACCAAATAAAGAAAATAACTCATCAACCCACAGTGTAAAACACAGTATTACGCAATTTTGCTAATAAATAAATAAATAAATAAATAAATAAATAAATAAATAAATAAATAACTCTCTTGCTAAGCCAATAGACAAATTTGGAAACATTAACACTGATGACACCAGAGTGGTATTGCATAAAAGTAATATAAGGGATTAAGCTGGGATTTTAAGGATATCCTGGATGAATTTAGCCTTGACTCAATTGCAAGAAAGCAGGCTAATTCAAGCTAAATTAAGTTATATATGAGATTTATTCTTTGCAGCTAGCCTGTTACAGAGCAGGCTAAGAAACAAGCTAAGATTAATCCTAATGATCTATGTTAGTTTTGCTGTCAACGCTACTGGAAATTAATGTGTTTTACAGTCACTGCATGCTCTTGGCTATTTACATATATTTCCCAACTATTAAAAGTTTTAAAAGGATGTTTAATTTTATTAGCAATTATTTTATAAATGTTCAATATTAAATATGAGGAGATAGACTAGAGAGAAATACATACACAGTGCATACACACATAGAGAAAAATACATACACAGTGCTCAGCATAAACGTGTACAACTCCTTTTAAAAATGAACATTTTGATCTATTCCTCAGTGAATATAGACAATCATTTTTGGTGCATTTAAACAAAACAGTTTTATTTAAGTTATATTCAATAAAATAAGACGTTGTTCACCTAACATCTTTAGATGTACATTTAAATTCAAACAAGCTATTGCAAGATATTGCAAAAAAATAAAAATAAAATGACAAACTAGACAAATGTCAACAATTTTATATTTTATATATAATTACAATTATTTTTTTGATGATGAAACATCATATATAATAGATTATATAAACTCAATTAGAGAGAACAATTATAAATGAAAGCTATATATAAATGATCACGTAGACAAAGATTAAATAAACTTGATCAAATAAACTAATAAAATAAATCTGCATTATTAGGTAAGTGTTTGATAAAATCTTCACAATCAATTCATTAGTAGTACTTTGTCACATTTAAGACAGTGAACAACTTTACAGGTGAGGCAGTGGCGCAGTAGGTAGTGCTGTCGCCTCAGCAAAAAGGTTGCTGGGTTGCAAGTTCGAACCTCGGCTCAGTTGGCGTTTCTGTGTGGAGTTTGCATGTTCTCCCTGCTTTCGCGTGGGTTTCCTCTGGGTGCTCCGATTTCCCCCACAGTCCAAAGACATGCGGTACAGGTGAACTGGGTAGGCTAAGTTGTCTGTAGTGTATGAGTGTGTGTGTGTGTATGTTTCACAGAGATGAGTTGTGGCTGGAAGGCCATCCTTAAAAACTTGCTGGATAAGTTGGCGGTTCATTCCGCTGTGGCGACCCCGGATTAATAAAGGGACTAAGCTGACAAGAAAATGAATGAACAACTTTACTACTTAATTTGTTCATATCCTGTTTCTAGGTCTCTGAATGAAAGTAATGAGTTAAAATTTATGGGCGGTCAGTCAGAGTGGTGTTTTTAAACTTGTTACCTGATTGGCTCACATCCGGTTTTATACTTGCATCATTGATTCTTTGATCAATCTTGTGGTCTGTTAAGAAGTGCTGCCAATGTACACGTATCCTGGCTATCTACATAAAAGCTTGACATATAGCAGCTTCTTCTCATCCTGGATCAGCTTTATTTCACCTAGTTTAAAGTTACTCTAGATTTACCCGAAGGAGTAATTCATTCTCATTCGGATATTCATTCTCTTATGCTATTAGGTGTTTGTCTGTTAGATAAGAAATCTAACAATAATCAAATGTTTCAATTTAAAAGGAAAATTTCAGTTTTACTCAAGGTCCTTGATTGATATATACTGGAATAGAACATGCATTTACCTGGCAAACATTGCTTTTCCGGCGATGCAGTGGCGCAGTAGGTAGTGCTGTCGCCTCACATCAAGAAGGTCACAGCTCGAACCTCAGCTGGGTCAGTTGGCATTTCTGTGTGGAGTTTGCATGATCTCCCTGCGTTTGAGTGGGTTTCCTCCGGGTGCTCCGGTTTCCCCCACAGTCCAAAGACATGTGGTACAGGTGAATTCATTCATACATTTTCTTTTCGACTTAGTCCCTTTATTAATCCGGGGTCGCCACAGCGGATTGAAGAGTCATTTAAGAATAAGATTTAACTCATTCTAAAAAATCACTTAATCTTATTGAGAATAACAAAAGATTCCTGAAATATTATGCAGATGTATTTAAAAGAGGTCCTCGATTTGAGATGCTTTCCTTACGGTTATTTGTTTAAGTGTCATTGTAATTTAATCCATTTGTTTAATTTTGTATGTTTAATTTAGTAACTTATTATTATTATTATTATTATTATTATTAATGTTAATACTATTATTGTTATTTTATTTTTTCCTCTCTGTCTAATGATATGTTATTTGTATGCATATGTGATTATAGTTTTTCTTATGACTGTGTATATTATTGACCTTTTTTTAAGATTTCTCTGTGATCCCCTGCATTTTGTATAAGCAAAAAAACTGTCAGCAAACGTGCAGCGGACTAAGTCAGGAAGACCCAATAAACTAGGTCAAGCTGCGTGTTTTTCTATTGTTCTGGCTTTCTTGATTCTACTTTTGTGCAATACCCCTCTGAACTGTAACACCAGTTGAATTAGCCCCATAGATATGCCATGAGTTAAAACCTTCAAAACAACAAGATTGGTAGAAAAAATATGAAAGTGGAACGAAAGTTACTGTATTGTGGGGGGTTTCAGGTGCGGCTGGAGAAGATAATCCGTTGAGGTCTCTAGTGGGTCTCTGATACAATATAATAGATAATAATCTGTTTTGTTAAATGATGTCACTGCTGTTAGATGGTATATTGAAAATGATTTAGCGCTATCCATCTTGTTCATTTGTTATTTACAATAAATTTGCAAATATTTCAAACAAACTGCTTTTAAACTAATTTTGAGGAGAATAATGAATTAAATTAATTTGGATATAAGCCACTAGCAAAATGTGGTAGAAATAAAGCGCAGTAAATACTTTTCAGATGCAGTGTAATAATACTTGTAATAGTCTTTTTTATTATATGAAGAATATACTGCATATGTAAACTTCTATTAAAACTGCATATTGTGTCACTGTTGTGCAAAAAGAAATGTACAATTTAAAATTTTAACATATATTTTAGTTTAGTTTTATAATAAATTAAGCTGCTCCTAGAAACACCTTTTTTTCTGTGGACTCACAGAGCACTACAGCAAGTTCTGACACAATAAAAATATTTTTAAAAAAATAATAATAAAAAAAAAAAACACCTGAGACCTGATTCACCTATCTTGTTACACCATTAAACACTGAAAACCAGTTTGTATTCACAGAGCAAATGTTAGTCATTTCATTCTTAAAAAGATTGCTAATAACACTATTATGGCTAAAATATTGAGTTAAATTCTGGTTCTCTAGTGATTTGCTCATGATGAACACAAACTCAAATATCTGACAGAGCCTAAAGTGTACATATTAGTAGATTTTGACCTATTAAACTCACCTTATGGTGCAAGACTGTTACTGAACTAAAACAATAAAGTGTCGACATGTATGCCATTTGACCTGGCAGAACATTACAAAGTTTTGTGTTTGAAAGGTAAAATATGTATGTTTGTTTATTTGATGATTAATGTTATTATTTTTATTGGGGTTACACATACATCACAATACAGAGCTGCTCTAATCAGGCCACTTTTCTCAACTTAGATCAAAATCCCTGAATTGGCCAAAAGAGGGCATCAAAAGCGTAATTTGGAAATAAGTAATAGATAAAAAGTGGGTTGAGCAGGACAGTGAGCTACAGTATGACAATAAGAAAGTGTTTTACATTTACTCTCAGTTTTATTCAGCCAAGCAAGGTATCAAGGTATTGTCATATCTTATTATAACTTGAATTTATTTGGCGCAAGAATCTGCATATGTATAGCCTATACCTTGCTACAAGAATTTATGTATTTTTGCATTTGATTATTCTCATCGGGATTTTTTGGTCTGTTTCAGATGTCTGCTGCACGCGCTGTTCTTTTGTTGATATTTGGATTTACCATGCTGAAGTTCATCTGCTGTTACAGTGATGGAAGTTTATTGACCGACCAGTGTCAAAGTATGGCTATAGATCATGGATCACAACCATCAGTACAAGTTTCAAACCCTTTAACCATCGTTCCAGATAATGTGACAGTGGACAGTTCAAAAGTGGGAACGAACTTTACAGGTAGAATCTCTTTAAGACGGTATATTGGGCTGGCACACTCGCCTTTGTGACATTTATCTTGCGAAGCAATTTGTATTGCTTAACAGGATATTGTTCATATCAAGAATTATTGTTTAGCAGGAGTGCATTTCCACTAATATGTCTATGTTAATTCTTGGTATCAACAATTCAATTTCACTTGTTAAATGTAAATTATTGACATCAGTAACTGAATTTAAATAAAAAAAATACAGTTTTTGATATCTGTAATTGTATTTTATCTAGCTAAATGTCTCAACAGGCTGCCAGTAATTGATGATTTCAAGAATTAACTTATTGCTAAAATTCCAATCTTTCCGCAGCAGAAACACAATTGCTACTAGTAAAAGGCTTTATTTTTGATATCAATTTTCATACTAGTGCAAAAGTCTATTCTTGATATTGATTCAATAATTGTTACAAGTAAAAACGTTTATTTTTGATATCAAGATTTTGAAAGTCAGTAGTGACAGTGTTAATGTCGATATCATGAATTCTATCAAGAAAGAAATATTTTAGATTTAAATTATATTCATATCAAAAATGCTGATTTTTCAGATATAATGAACTACAAATGTAACATCTTGATATGCATTTAACTGATATCAAGAAGTATTTACACTTTAACTTGTGTCAATTTACTTCTTGATATTAACAATTTAATGTCACTAGTTGAAATGGAATTATTTCAACGTGTTACATTTGTTATTTCTGATATCTAAAATGTATTTTTTAATATCAGCAATTAGGAGAGCAATTTATAATATCTAAACTTACTGATCTCACTAGTAACAATCATTTAAGATATCAGAAATGAACATTGTCACTAGTGACGACTAGTGATCTTTTTTTTTTTTTTTTTCAAAAATGACTATTTTTACTTGTAGCAGTTGTTGATATCAACAGTTTAATTCCTGGTATTAACAATTTTATTTCTGATACCAACAGTTTAATTTTTTATTTCATTGTTGATATTACATTTAAACTAGTAAGAAATCTGTCCTTGATAGCAATTAAATTGGAATGGCAGTCTATTGTGACATTTTAGTGAAAATACAATACTGATAATAAAAAAAAGTTGATAGTTGATCAGGAATTTCATTTATATTTGATATTGATATCAACCATTTAATTTTTTATTTAAACAATTTGTTTTTGATATCAAGAATGCTGAATGTTGAGATCTCCAATGGATTGTTAAAATCAAGAATAAATATCCTGAAATTGCATAAAATTCAGTTCTTGCTATTACTGCTAGTGCAATGCTCTACTATAGACTACAGGAAAGTGTTTGTTTAATGCTTGAGTGGTGTAAACAAGTTGTCTTTTCAAAACTGTCAGCAAAATGTATCCATTTTTCTACAGTGACACTCTCTGCTTCTGTTCCATTTATGGGCTATATTTTGGAGGCTCGTGAGTGTGATAATTGCCCACCTGCTGGAATTTTTAGTGGGCTTGACAGTACCAAGAGTGTGCTTATCTGTAGTGTAAGTGACACACACACGCACACACACGCATGCATGCGCACACACACAAGCACACACACACACACTTTTATACAGGCTTCATGGAGCAATTGTTAAATGTTATACTTCATATATATATATATATATATATATAATTATACATTTATAAACTGTATATTTATAAACTAATAAATATAAACTAATATCAGGTGTTTATCATGTATTTATTAGGGCCAGGCCGTGGCTCAACCTAATAACAACCTTAAAACTTTAATCCAAGTGAACTGGACGCCTAATGCCAATGGACAGTTTTTCTTCAGGTAAGAAGGCTTTGCTGAATAAAATGAAAAAAAAAAAATATTTCATGGTTTTCTTGTAGTAGAGATCTTTATTAATCCCTGTGAGGGGAAACTCATTTGCCACCATTGACATCACAATACAATCAATTATTACAGTTTTTTTGGATTGCTTAAGCACAATTTTCAAAACAGGGCCCGTGTTTTGTACATACATTAGCACAATCACACACCCAATCAGCACTACAGATCCTTTGCATAATTAAACACTCTTGTAAAAAACTATACAGTTATGTTTAAAAACACTTTTTTACCATTAGAAACAGGTTTTCATTTACTATACTCTGTTTGCACGAGTTACACTCTGCTGTGATAAACCTAAAACACTTTTAGCACTTCTACTTGCCTATGGTTAGAGCATGCTACCATCAACAAAATACAAATATAAAGTCAATCCACCAAACACTACACTAGACAAATAGGCCTATTTGAGATGGCCAAAATCTGAGCAGAAGTGATCACCGCAAGATGCATGCCGGTTCAACAATGAATTAGCCACTAAACTGGCAAAACGTAAATTACTTACGTTTCCTCGTGAGATCAGGCAGGCCGATTAGAAATGTGTCCGAGTTGCGTTCGCCTCGCTCTGACGTGCACTATAAAAACTCTCGGCTAGGCAGGTACCTTGGATTGAGCAGTCGGGAGCAGTTGTTCTCCAAAAACTGCACTCACAAAAGCATGATTGGAAACAACTGGCTGATGACACAGCTGAATGCTCATTGGATGAGACTGACAAACTACACCTCTATCTAGTTTTTACTAAGATACCTGGCTTTGTTAAATACTTTAAATACTTTTTTTTTTGTATTTTCGTTGATAATTTAAAAAAAAGTCATAAAGAGCATTACATATGGTTATTTATTTAGATTTACACGCAAACAAATACAAAACACATCTTTGTAAAAGCATAACGTGACCTATCTAATATAACTAAATGTTACTAATAAATCATTAGGACGCGCATGTGCTATATTTTTATTGTTTAAAGTCCTGTTTGTTGTCATTTTCACTTTTTTTGTATGCTTTTGTGAATTTTGTATTGTAATTTTTATGCAAAGTCAATCCACATACATATAAGCATACATACATTCAAAGGTAATCAGACTGCTTTGTCATTATATGCCTCATCTTTGTGTGGTTTCATGTGAGAAGTGAAAGCAGTGTAATAAACAAAACACACACACACACACACGTATGTGAAGTACAAAGTCATGTTTACACTTTTTCCCAATTGTTTACACACAATTACTTGTACTTCAGACACAATGACTGCAACATGTAACTGATGCACCAACCCCCTGAACCAGTTCTGCTAATACAAGCACAATTCCTGCTTTACACCCAAATTGCAGGTTTAAAATACTTTTCACAAGGAACACACTGCCATTCACAACTGTAAAGTCAGTTGTCCTACTTTCCATACTAACTCATTACATGAGTAAACATCTGTCACAAAGAATTGCAATTTAGAAATCAGAGCTCATCTGGTTCATAACTTGTTCACTGCCCACCCACGTGTTTTAGTTGTTTATCTCCCTCCATATTCTCCATTCCTCAAACCTATTGAGGATTTCTTTTCTGCCTGCGGACCGAAATCCATACACATGTATACCCCTTCTCCAAGCTATAGCAGTTGATGCTTTTTATGGCTGGATTCGCCATGCAAGGTGACAATTTCCCTGCTGCTTGGCCAGACCAAAACAGAGGAGAAGAGGATGCAGTATAGCAGTTTTTTTATACTGTAACTGTATTCTTTAAATCCTTCAGTTGATGGTATATTTAGACCACGTTATGTGCACGTTATGACTACGTTTGTGTTGGTTGGGTTGAACTCTGTGTACACTGTCTTTGTGGGAAAAATACAGTAAAATATATTGGTCATTTGTGTTTTGTATACAAACAATATTCTGAAATATTTTACAATGCACTGCTGCCTGTGTTTTGCCTGTAGTAAGTGTAAGACTGAACAAAAAAGGCTTACATTAAGTCATAATGATGAATAGATAAGAAGTGGTCAAAGTGTTTTACATTAAGCATATCAGTGCTCAACTCTTCTTATGAATGTCTATTCATGTGATGGTTTGTGTGTGTCATTTAAAAAAAACACCATTTTGAAAAGAAATCACATAGTTTTGAACGTAGAGTTTCATTTTGCAGGAGAATCGAAGTGTTTTACCCAATGTGTGCGTGTTTTTTGTTTTGTGTGTAGAGTTCTGACAATATGGGACAGGCTTTCAGAAAATGTGTGTAAATAATTGGGAAAAACTGTAACAGACTAAGAACATTTTCACAGTATTTCCTACAATCTAATAGTTTTTATTTTGGAGAATGTCTTAGGCTATTTATTTTAGTCTGGCTGGAGTAAAAGCAGATTATATAGGCTTAATAAGCATGTCAATATAATAAGCCCCTTTATTTCTTTATGTCAAACAAACATTTTTCATAACTTGTCACTCAAAAGCATCTTGCTATAGCTTAATTTATAATGTAGCCAAATGAGATTCTTTGAAAGCTTTCTTGCTGTATAAGCTGTTCATTTTGTCATTCTTTTAACATTTGTTAAATATACAGATTTATATTTTAAATACACCCTTTTACAGTTTTTTTTTAATTGCTTAAGCACAATTTTCAAAACAGGGCCCGTGTTTTCAAAACAGTACACACAAGTAGCACATTCACACACCCAATTGGCAAAACACTACAGATCCTTTGCATAATTAAACACTTTTGTTGAAACTATACAGTTATGTTTAAAAACCACACTTTTTTACCATAAGAAACAAGTTACACATTTACTATACTCTGTTTGCATGAGTTACACTCTGCTGTGATAAACCTAAAACAATTTTATCACTTCTACTTGCCAATGATTAGAGCAGGCTACCATCAACAAAATACAAATATAAAGTCAATCCACCAAACACTATACAAGATCAATGCTGCACACTCAAGAAACTCATTTATTTCTCAACATGCCCAAAATGTTGACATGGAGATTCATGGTACTGTAACAACATGTCATTTTATGTATTGTACTGTAAGTTTACTGTTACAAAAAAAAAAACTTTGCAAGCAATTGTCATAAGTAAGACACGGAGGGATAATTTCGATGACAGAACAAAATAGTGACAAACCCACAACATTCTTCATGATTAGTTTAAGATATGGGGAGAATGTACACAAATAGGCCTACTATAAGCTTATCAAGCACTGCACACCACTGATGCTGCAGACTGAAGATTTCAAGTATTTATTTCAATTCAAGAAATACAGTATTTCTGCTGAGATTTGGCTGAACTCTTTGTCCAGCTTCCATCAGTGTCAGTCCATGGTTGATAACATGGTCAATAAGTGTTGCACAGATTTCTTAAGTCAAATTTGGTCCTCGTCTTCTTTGTTCAGGTTCTATCAACTCTTCAAGTCCTTCTCTACCTCTTCCTCTACCTAGCCCTCTTCCTCTACCTCCTCATCCTCCTTCTTCTCCTTTTTGAGCTCCCCCCTCTGCGTTTTCACACCTTGTGAATGTGTTTATCCAATTCATTCATTAGCGTGGTCATTGGCAATCCGGGGCTTTATAATGACAAGTAAGTAACCGCACAATCCTTATCTGTGTCTAAGGTGCCAAAATGTGTGTTTTACAAATCACTGTGTGTAATGTTTTGCAAAAAGAGTGAAGCAGACATTGTGTGTAATGTTGTGCAAATTTGTGGCGGTGTTTTGCTCCCTAGGTTAGAATTTTGCAAATTGTGTGGAACTTTTTATTTTAGAGTGTAAACAATCGTAAAAATTTTAAACACCTGAGGTGCGGGTCTACAATTAAGCAAACAAGTGTTTGCACACCTGATGACTGTGAACGAATTAGTTGGGCGGTGCAGTAATTTGACAGTCAGTGCTTTGGTATTGCAAGGAAGTGACTTCATGGTAGATTTGTGTGCGTAATATATGTTAAGTGTGTTTAGTGTTTTGCAAATCACTGTGTGTAGAGTTTTGCAACAAGTGTGAGGTTGACAATGTGCTTATAGTTGTGCAAATATGGCTGATGTTTTGCTTCCTGAGTGTAAGGTTTTGCTAATAATGTACTACTTTTAGTGTGTAAGCAATCCAAAAAAAACGGTAAACAACAACAAATACCACAAAAACAGTACAACAACAACACCACACTGTTTGCACCAACTACACATCACAACACAGTAAATTACTATGCAAATAAAAACAAAAGGTTACACATATAACCATTACACTTCTTCATTAAATAACTCAAACTATTGCCTTTTATGTTGATTGTTAGTAAACATGATGTCTGATTTACTTTTCAGATCTGCTTTCATTCAAAGTTTCAGTACATTTTGTCTAAAAAAAGCAATCATACTCCCGACGACAACAACACCAACCACTACAACAACCACCACAACAACTACAGCTACCACCACTACAACAACTAGACCTACAACAGCAACTGTAACAAGTAGTCCTGCAACATGTACAATAGCTGCATTAAGTAAGAAAAACTTCCATATTGCCTACAGTGACATTAGAAGCAAATATATATAATGAAGGGGTAGTTCACCCAAATAGTGAAAATTCTGACATTTACTAACCCTCCACTAACAGTTATGTCTGAGTTTATTTCTTCAGTTGAACACAAAATAATACATGTTTTACTGCAATGGACGTCAATGGCTACTGGCTTCCAGCATTCAAAATATATTCCTTTGTGTTCAATAATAATTATAATAATAAAACTCAAAGGGTTGAATCCACTTGAGGGTGAGTAAATGTAAAGAATTTTTGGAGTAAAGTATTACTTGAAACAGTAGCCTTTCTGTGTCATATTAAATGTTTTATTATGTACAGAAACAACTTTATTTCTCCTGCTCCCTCCTAATCAAAACCACACAAACACTTCAACTCGAATGGAAAGACACTCATGAAAAAAAGTTTCTGTTGCCAGTGCTACTTGTTTTGCAATTCAAAACATGACATTTGACAGTTGCGAGAATAATAGCATTGTTCTTGAAGCAGAATATTTAAATGTCCAGCATTAACACTGCAGCTGCAAGATATACACACGCTGAAACTTCAAATATCTGTATTAGTAAATGAAATAGAAATGCCTGGTTTTAGACACCACACTATTTAGTATGGTGTATTTAATTGCCACCTTGTTTGAAAACCTAAAAATAACCTAAAATACATTCTACAGAATCGTTAAAGATTCATGATCATGAAAAAAATTGTGATTCTCATTTATCCAGAATCACGCAGCTTTAGTTTTGCGTTCATGTATTGTGTACTTCTTCAGTCCAGCCCTGCCAGCCTTAGATTTCCCTGCATGCCGATTACCTGGTAAGGCTAACAGCCAATGATACTTTATGTCAGAAACTTTATCTGCTGAAATATAGATATACATACCAACAGATAAAAAAGCATTAAAAACAACAGCCAATTAAAAACTTCTCATGTAACTTTTCACTTATTTCAGTACTTTTTTACACATTAGTTGCTCTGTGATATGTTCAACATTTCACATTTTACACAAGCGGAACAAAGCTGCTTACAACATCAAATGTAGAGTCATAGGCTACAGAGGCCTGTTGCATGAAGACATTATTTTTCTGGACTTTGAATCTGGAAAGAGTGAGCTGGAAACCTTGCGGTCTGGAGGATTAAGGAGTTCTCAGATTTCACCTACATGAGGATGAGTTATTTACAACATATTTTACATTTTTGGATATCTTTGCAGTGAAGTTATGGACACAAACACACATCAAACATGTACAGGGCAGGCACTGAAATCAGCAAACAGTAGTCTACAGCAGTGGTTCTATTTGCCACATTCTGTCTTTATATTACACTGCTGTGAGTGATAGCATTCTGGATTGTACGGTGGCTCTGAACTGTCTAAACACCTTTCAAATTTGATAACATGAGATTGAATTTGTCAACGTGCAATAATCTTGGATGGACATTTCAGATTCATTGTACAATGACCTTAAAACTTGTCATCTGTTTTCTTTTACTTACAGAAAAGTCATCATTACTGCTTCAGTGTGTGCAGTATATGGTACGTAGACTATATATTTTATATGCATGCTGCTAAATGGTATTATATTTATACATTTTGTCCCCAATAAACCTACATGTTGTAATTATTATAACATATTTGATAATCTATACATGTTTTGTTCTCACCTTTGTGTGCATATTTGAACATGTCTGTGTCTGTCTGTCTGTTCACACCAGAGAAGTTGTGTGGTACTGTTGTTATTCAGCAGACTTTGTTTTCTTGGAGGCTCTTCTCTCCTCATGATCATCAAACCAGTTTCAAAAAAGGTAAGTGTGTCCAAGAACACTATGCGCAATGACTATTTCTAAACTCTTGTGTTTTTATTAGAAGTTATCAGCAACCTTCCAGTGGTCACAAACCTTTATGAGAATTTTTTTTTACACAAAAGGAGATATTTTGAAAAATGTTTGAAACTGGTAACTATAAACAGTAGGAGTATCACAGCAGGGAAAACAAAACCTATGGAAGTGGTCACCAGTTTTAAAAAACGTCTTTTGTGTACAGCAGAAAAAGGATACTCAAACTGGTTTGTGACAAGTGAGGAGTGAGTAAATGATGACAGAATGTTCAGTTTAGGGAGAACTGTCCCTTTAAATCAATTAAATTCATTATGTAAATAACGAATATATACATTGTGTCTCCTTACAGCCCACCCAGATTGCATCCATCATTGAAGTAGTATTAAAATTTGTTGCTACTGTCCTTGTACTAATAAAAGCAGTTCATGTAAGGGTTTTTTCTACTACAGTTTACTAACTTTTTTCATGATTATTGTATGTGGTTGAAGAGTGGAAAGCAGAAGCGAATGAGGAATTTGAAATCTAATTAAGTTTTCATTGTTGTGTAAATGTTTGTGGCAGTTCCTGTGTGAGAATGCTGGTTTGCAGTTTTTGTTTGCTGCTTTGATAGTGACTGCAATGGTTACAGGCCTGATACACACTATCACCGTTTTTCTTCACTGTGGACCAAGGCATGAATTGTGAGTGCTAACTTTACATATCAGCACCAATATAATGTGACCAAACCATAATGATAATTGTTTCTACACAAGTTTTTGTCTGGTATTGGTCAGAAAAAGAGAGAGCCTCTGTCCCAACTCATCATTGGTTGAAACTAAATTCTAGTGTTTTTTTACTGGTCTGGCTCTTTGACTAAGAAGACCAGAACTACTAAACAGTAAAAACTTTACTGTAAAGAGTTTTGAGACTAAAATACAAATGAGAGTGTATTGTCCTGCAAGTGAACTACTGACTGTGTGAAAGACTATAGAATACACAAGACATGTCACTGGTAAAGTTTTGAATGGAGAAACGAGTAACAGTCAATATGGCGAATGAATATGGCCAATCATCAATTGCTATAGACTGACGTTTCTCTAGAGCAGAAGATCGGATCAGACATGTGCTTTTTGCGAATATTTACTTCACAGACATAAGATTTATATCCACATAAAGCTTGAAATCTGTACTTTTACATAAACCAACTACACTTGAAAACAAAAAAGCGTTTGTTTTTGGAATCTGTATAAAACGAATGCAAGGTATAGTCTGTCCTGTCAAACCCACATGACAGCAACTTCTCGAACGTCCACAAACGTGTAAACAAAGAGTTGCTGTCATTTTGGGAGGAGATTTGCCATCAAGTTGTGAATTACTTCAGAAGACCAGCACGATCTGACATAGTATTATCCAGAGAAAGATAATGTGTAAAACGTAAAAAAGGTTGTTGCTGTTATTTCATTTGTTTCGAGTGCGGATTAGCTCGGTCAATCTGAAAAAATTAAAACGTTTACAAACTTATGAGACAGTTGTTGTTTCATTTTATTGGTGGTACCAAATATACAATAAGCTTAGCCTACAGTTTTGGAAAATGGATTTTTCCTCATTCAGACAGAATGCTCGAGCATAATGACCGAGAGACGTTTCAAAATTAGCCACCGTGTGAAAACTGTGAAATGACTTCCCTTACAGGGAGTTTGACCGTGTTCAAATGTAGGAATGCCATTTTTTTTAAAGAATATTCCGTTAATGATATTTTTAATCATCATTCTATTAAATACAGAGAGGAATTGCATACCCATCTGAGAAATTGGTCTGTATTGGTATTATCATTGTAGCTATGAGAATGTCTGTCATATCAAATGATAAAAAAGTATGTCCCACAGAATCTCACAAGGCTTTAGACTCTGTTTACACCTGAATTGATCTAACAAAAAGACATCTTAACACAATACCAGGACCTTATTTATTCATTTACAGTTTATGGTTAGAAAGAATTTAATCTTCTTCATATAAGACTCTTATATATTACTTTATTTTGAATTTAATGTTCAAAAATTTTTATCTTACAGAAGAACATGTTGGATTTGTTCTCTCATAATAGTTGATCTACTGAATACACTCATTACATGTAAGTTTTTTCCCATATCCATTGTTTAATTACCTTTTAATTTTTTGGTATGTTGTGCAAATATTTATTATCGACCTTATTTTCTGAAATTGGCATAGATGTAAATACTTACTCATGCAAAGCTCTTAAATGCTCAGATAAAGCTGATAAAATCTTTTGTTTGTTACTAATCTTCTTTTTTCTATTTATACTGTAGCCATCTCAATATTTTATGGGTTATGGTGGTTTCAAGGGCGCTGGTTGCTAATAGTAATGGCAGTTTATGTTATTTTGGAGTTCATCCTTTACCTTGGAGCAGCTGTTTTTGAATGGATAGGAAAGAGAAAGAGAGTTGAACGTGAGTATTTTTGGTACAACCATGCCAGAGACTACTTGGTATTGGGTCTAGACCCCTTTTGTCAAACTTGATTTCTGGAGGGCCACAGTGCTGCAGAGCTTAGTTCCAACCCTAATTAAACACATCTGATCAAACTAATTGAATGCTTTAGGCTTGTCTGATATTTACAGATAGGTGTGTTGAAGCAGGGCTGGAACTAAACTCTGCCCTCCAAGAATTGAGTTTGACGCCCCTGCTCTAGACAATAGGTCTCAGACTCAATTCCTGGAGGGCTGCTGCTGTGCACAGTTTTGGTCCAACCCTAATCAAATACAGCTAATCTAACTACTTAAGGTGTTCAAGACTACTACAAACTATTAAACAGGTGTGAAATAAAGGTGGTTGGAGCTAAACTGTGCAGAGCTGTGGCCCTCCAGGAATTGAGTTGGTGTCCATTGCTCTAGAGTCACTTACATATACGCTTACATGTACTTTCTTGTTCTGCATTGAAAAAAAGATTTGTTATATTTAATCCTACATCACATTATAGATTTACTCATGAACACAGTCTCATTAGATTATATCTGTACTTTACAGAAAATCGTCCTGTTCCAGACAACAGGGTATGTGAACTTTTAATCTGTCCTCACTAATTTTTATACACAAAGTCATTGTAGTTTGAGGCAATCTGCCCAAAGGGATAGTTTATTTATTGTTTACTTGTCTTCAAGCCATTCTATTTTTTTTCTCTCCAGGAGAACATTAAATAATATATTTAGCAGAAAACATTTATAAAACACTAGGCCTCTATCAACTTAGCCATATGGGTCACCTTGATCCACTGTAGCTTGCGTTACTTTCCATGACTAGCAGTAACCTGTAAACTTGTCGGAGTGAAAGACAACCTTACACACACACACACACACAATAAATATATATATAACACAATATGGATGTGATAATTACAGCAGATGGTAGGAAGCGAGGAGATACAGGGACCAGACACGGAGACCACACAACAACCAGACAGGAGACCAGTAGGAATCAGACTAAGAGAAAGGATGCAGACACTGGAGATTACAAGGAGAGCGGTAAGTAACTCTTTCTGAATAAATCAACACTGACCATTTAGAGAGTGTAGTCCTTCACGTGTAACAAGGTCTGACAATGGGCCCTATCATACATACAGTGCAAAAAGGCGCAAAGACGTGTTTGCCCCGACGTGTTGCTATTTTCAGACCAATGCAATCCTAATTTTTCATGTTTTCTGCCACATTGTTTAAATGGCAAATCTATTTGCGCCATTTTGTGGACTCATGGGTGTTAGAAAAGAGGTGTGTTAAGGCGCATTGTTGGCACGTTGCTATTTGGGAGGAACTAAAATAGACTAGGCAGTAGACCAGCTGAAAGCAGGTCTAAAGTTCAGAGGCAGAGCTGAGGTCCTGACTCTCTGTGGTTGTTTAAAATCCCAGGATGTCCTTCGAAAAAGAGTAGGGGTTTAACCCCCCGGCATCCTGGCCAGATCATGGCCTCCTAACCATCCCCATACCATAATTGGCTTCAACACTCTCCACCAATCAACTGTTGTGTGTTGTGCGGTCTGGTGCAATATGGCTGCTGTCACGTCATCCAGGTGGATGCTGCACACTGGTGGTGGTTGAGTTGCTTTGAGTGTCTAAACGCTATATAATTGTAAGGAATTATTATTATCCTCGCGCTGCAGATGCTCTGTTTAACTCTTTTATTGCTAGTGAAGAGCTCAGTTTTTCCACGTTCGCCATGTAAATATCAAATATGCCATGGCACGATGCAATTGACTCTTAAAGGGAATGGGAGATGAGAATCTGATTGGTTTATTCTCAAAACACACCCATAACTCATTAAGAGAATGAACTTAACCCTTTTAGACCATGTGCCTCGGTGCAGAGTCTATTTTTCTATCCTTCAAATAGCAAAAGTGAATTCGGACATGCCCTTAATGCTTTTGCACCCTGCACTTTAGACTTTGTGCCTTGGTCATTAAAAAAGAGCCCAATAAGAGCAGTCTGGGGTGAGCCTTTATAAAGAGGAGATAATGGGCATGAATGATGTGCAGGTGTGGGAATGATTAGTAGGCAGGTGACAGTGAACGTGATGGATGAGGGGATTAAGGAAGGGTAGATGAACATTCCTCCTTATTTTTTGATATTTTTATCCACTAATATATTTATATTGAACATTAGCGTGGTCACTCTGTGGACACACACATTCTTAATATCTTTAAGAATAGAAAGATAATACATTTAATTTCAAATGAGGCATTGCAAAAATAAAAACAAATAAAAAAAACTACAAAACTCAATTTAATTTTATTTTTTATTAAAATTTAATTGTATATTTTTCCCGAACATAATCATTGAAGTGTATTCATTTTTGCACCGTGACCTTAGATTATTTTGTCAGAGTAGTTCTAATTTTGCCTTTGGTACTGACTACTGTAATGTATATACAAAAATTTCTTATCACCCTGTAGAAAGTATTATTTTCAGGAGTTCACAGTTAGCTGATGATTGATATTGAAGCTTGTTTGGCTCAAGTAGATCTAGATGAACTCCCCCAACTTATTTCTGGTAAATAACAGATATAGGCTGGCTAAGGAGAGATGTACGCTTGCTAAGAGCTTGGCTATAGTATCAGTTGTTATGTTCAATTTACATAGGTTGCATGTTTTTAGACTGTAGGAGGAAACAGAAGAAACCCTGGGAAAACCCACACTAGCACAGGAAGAACAAGTGAACTCCACACAGAAATGTCAACTGGTTTAGTAGGAACTTTACCAGAGACATTTTTGTAGTGAGGCAACAGTGCTAATCACTGGGCCACCGTGTCACCCATCTGAAAAGGAGGTGGGTGGGGTATGGTAAAGGTAGGGTAGGGGAGGGGTTTTTCAAGATGAAGATACTGAGATAAGAAAACTCTGGATATTTACAGTGAGTTAGGAATCATCTAATTAGTGAATCAATCGTGAGCGGATGCGGGACCAGCTGTGATCCATCATAAGCATGTGATCCTCTTGAAATTAGTTTAAAAGTAAATTTCCGTTTAAAGACCAATCTCTGTTTCTTATATAAAGTGAGTATGCATGCTTGCATTCATTAATTCATGTAGGACGACAGTTAAGGCCTAGTTTTGAAATGTACATAAGTGTGTACTGTGCTGTATTGAATCATATACCGTGCAGTAAAAATGATCCATACAAACATTTTGAGAGACAATAAAATGTATTAAAAGATATACTGCTGCTGGTGATATGTTGAGATCATACAAGGCTATTGTTTTGGTCGGTGCAAAAACTAAAAATGAAACAGCTCACACTTCAGAATATTGTGAATTCCCTCAGGACTGGTTATAATGTTTTATCATGTTTCTTTTTGTGCATGGACAGTTATTTTGCCTCATAAGCCTTTCATGTATTGTCAGGATCAATATATAATAGATTTGATTTAACTGAATGTTTATATATAGTAATTTTACACCATTAAATGCCACATTAAATCATTTTTCTTTTTTTTATTTGCAGAAATCCCCATGGTTGGTCACTTTTGTCATTTTTTGTGTGTTTTATATAATGTTTACAGTTGCACTTATTGTTGGTGTGTGTTTGGTTTCAAGCGCGGTCTTCCTGTAGTGTATTGATCATTTAGTTTGTACAATATATATATTTATATGTAATTTTATAAGGACCATTAAAAACTATTTATTGCACTATTTCTTTTGTATAAATGTATATGTTAAACTTTGTGTAGATGTGTATAGTGCAATTTTTGCGATCTGAGTGGAGGATACTAAAAAAATCCATTATGAAAGAAAAACAACCTTATAAAAAGCGATGATGTTTTTAAATGTTGCTGTCCAAAGGTCTTATAATTTCTTATCATTGTCTTGGATGCTGCACTATCCACAGCATAATGAACATCTTAACTCTTTCTGAATTTTGATTGTGATTTAAAATTGTCATTATTGTTATTGTTTGCTATGTTATTGTTTATGCACTTGATGTTAAATTGTTTTTATGTTTGATTACAGTGAGTAAATTTGTCACTTTGATGCATTTTTATTGGCTCCATTTGTATTTTTGATATTGTAAAACGCTTTGAAATAGCGTATTTTGATAGCTGAAGTCTGTATTGCTGTACATTTGTTTATATTTTTAGTAATATTAGTCACAAAATTTTCTAGATTATATTTCGGACCCTTTTTTCAGTTATGATATGATATTTTGTTATGATATTTTGTAATTACAATGAGCCACTAAACCACAAAACAAACAACCAACAAAGGACAGTAGGTTGCAGTAGGTAGTGCTGTCACCTCACAGCAAGAAGGTCGCTTTTTAGAAAATCGAATGGGTCAGTTGGCGTTTCTGTGTGGAGTTTGCATGTTCTCCCTGCAGTTTGCATGGGTTTCCTCCGGGTGCTCCGGTTTCCCCCACAGTCCAAAGACATGCGGTACAGGTGAATTGGGTAAGGTAAATTGTCTGTAGTGTATAAGTGTGAATGAGTGTGTGTGGATGTTTCCCAGAGATAGGTTGCAGCTGAACAGTGTCCGCTGCGTAAAACATATGCTGGATAAGTTGGCAGTTTATTTCGCTGTGGCGAACCCAGATTAATAAAGGAACTAAGCCGAAAATAAAATGAATGAATGAATGAATGAATGAACAAAGGACAATTTGCATTACACTTTCTTATGTGTTAGTCAATGAGTCATTCGTTCATTTACTTATTCATTTATTTTTAATAAATGAATTATTATTTTATTTATTATTTTTTATTTATTTTCAGCTTAGTGAGCTGTTTTCAAAATTCTGCATATATGAATGAAGAATTTAAGTAAAATAAGTAAACAATTTGCAGCCAGGACATATTTTTTGTCCTTCAAATATACTTCAAATTTTGTTTATAATGTAAAAAAAAGGTCCCAACATATAGAAAAAATATATAGTTTTATCCAGCTGCCCAAGTCATTAAATATTAATTACAATGAAGATATTCAACATTGAATCTTTTTCTCAGAAACTCCTTTGCAGGGTAAATATATCATATTTTAAAATGTACTTCTTTATATTTTGGAGGAAGAGGAAATGTCAAATATTTGCATCTAATTTTCTTAACTAGATTATTATTCAAATATCGGAAAACATTTCTTTTAATAGGACACGGATATCCTGCATAAGACTCACTTAATTTAACATCCATGATATTGTGACCAATAAACTAGGATTTCTTTTAACAAATTAACTAATGATAAAGGAATACATCTAGTTACTTTCAAATAATCTTTTTTAACTCAATTAAATGTAAAGATAGTACCAAGCAAACAAGTAAACAAGTCACAATGCATGACATTCACAGGATTTCATTAAATTGCCATTGAATACCCACTCACCCATTTGTGTCATGCATGATTAGAAGACTTAAGTAGGCCTATATTGACTTTATATATATGGTTTCATCTATAAAATGTATGTTAAACTCAATAGCGCAAAAGTTCTTGAACAGTTTATAAACAGTAAACTCCCCTGCAACTCCTACACCTTGTTGCGATAGGATATAATCTTTAAAGCAGCTAACAAACATTAAACTACCCTTTAAATGTTGAAGTCACAAATCCATAATGTTACATAACACTTTTAAATATCTAAAATCCCATGAAACATGATAATTTGAACCTGTTTGGTATTTACACTCACTGGGCCAGTAGGCTAGCAGACAGATTGATGATAAAGTTGCGGACGCCATCTTATGGTAAGAACAGGTGTTGTCCCGCATGATCCGCACTGCATTATTATGGTGTACCTTTTGATGATTATTTTAATATTTCACTCTTCAAATAAAAAGGTGGCCAATAATAATATATTTGTGGTTTGAATTTTACAGTGTTAAGCACTTGGGTAAGTGTTTGTGATTTTTCTGTTTTATAAACATATTCTTAGGCCTTTCAATATCGTTAAGAAAATGCTCAAAGCAACTTTGTTAAAGTTATACATTAATAAATCATACACATAAAAATACAGCTTAAATGTTCTAAATTGAAAGAATTGTTAGTGTAGCCTTTGATTCTAGATTGTAAAGTTAAAAGAAAACCTTGATTGACTTTAAACAAAAACTCCAAGCAGCAAAATTGATTGTAGCATTTTGGGATAAAAAAAAATGCTTGTTTTGACTTACCAGTTGACTCTGGTTTAAGCAGAAAAATAAACATGTTGAAAATATGTCATTTATACTATTTGAGCAAAATAGTATATAATGTTAGATTATTATTATTTATTTAGTTTTTTTGCATTATTGTTGTTGTAAATAAGTAACATAAACAGTGGTTTCAAAGAATAATCAGATGGATGAAGCTAATCCCTTACAGATCTAAAACCATTGTTGAAATCAAGTTGTAAAAAATCATCTGCCAAACTTAAGTAAATGTAATGTAAGTATTTATAAAGCGCATTCACTTTATATGAGGGAAGGGGTCAGTATGAGGGAAGGGGGGCAGTATTCACTTGAATGATGCAATCAATGGCACCAGTCTTGGGCTGCAGGGTGATATGGCTGTGGATAAGCTGATTTAAATGTAGCCTACTAAGTACAAAATGACTGACTTTAAAAAACAAATTGCATGCAAATTCCTGGGACTGCTGTTATGTGATTGACATGCCGTTTATGGTAGTATAGTCTTCACTATGCAGCTGCGCTGCTAAAGGGATTACGTACCTCAAAAAGCTATCTCTTACTGCAGGTTCTTAAAAGATCCGTTTGGGGATATAGGCTGCTTATGTGCTGACTTTCTATGGAGTCAGATAAGACTCAAAAGAAATTCACGCAAAAGACACGATGTACACATGCGCAGCCAAATGCATGTGCATAAAACCAAATTCACGAGCGTAAAATATTTATTTATATTCACAAAAACAATTCAGTTGCTCCAGCACAGAACGGCAGCTTTTCCGACCATGCGAGGAGCATGTGAGCACCCAATAAAGCCTGTTTACATTCATTAGATATAATGTAAATTAAGTTTTTAGTCAGTGAAATTCAGAGAATTTAATAGTTCTTGCTTGAAGCCTGTGCATCTCTTTCTCCATTCGCCATGCTGGAGATGTACAGACTGCGCAATAGTGATGGGTCGTTCATGAACGATTTGTTCATTTTGAACGAATATTTAATAGTGGAAATCTTCAGGAAGTGATTCGTTCATCCGCGCGTGCGTACATTTGTGCAGGTGGTATTGTTCATTTCAAGTCTTCACCACATTTCTAGTCGTTCATCGCGGAAAGGCAGAAACCAATCATCTGCGTTTAGAGCCAGAAAAAGAATTGATCCGTTCACCTCTCGAGTCCTCTATCGGGTCTGAGTCACTCGTTCATCACTGGCCAATCATATGCGTTTAGAGCCGTAAAAAGAATTGATCTGCTCACCTCTCGAGTCCTCTATCAGGTCTGAGTCACTCGTTCCTCACGGGCCAATCATACGCGTTTAGAGCTGGAAAAAGAATTGATCTGCTCACCTCTCGAGTCCTCTATCAGGTCTGAGTCACTCGTTCCTCACGGGCCAATCATAAGCGTTTAGAGCTGGAAAAAGAATTGATCTGCTCACCTCTCGAGTCCTCTATCAGGTCTGAGTCACTCATTCCTCACGGGCCAATCATACGCGTTTAGAGCTGGAAAAAGAATTGATCTGCTCACCTCTCGAGTCCTCTATCAGGTCTGAGTCACTCGTTCCTCACGGGCCAATCATAAGCGTTTAGAGCTGGAAAAAGAATTGATCTGCTCACCTCTCGAGTCCTCTATCAGGTCTGAGTCACTCATTCCTCACGGGCCAATCATACGCGTTTAGAGCTGGAAAAAGAATTGATCTGCTCACCTCTCGAGTCCTCTATCAGGTCTGAGTCACTCGTTCCTCACGGGCCAATCATAAGCGTTTAGAGCTGGAAAAAGAATTGATCTGCTCACCTCTCGAGTCCTCTATCAGGTCTGAGTCACTCATTCCTCACGGGCCAATCATACGCGTTTAGAGCTGGAAAAAGATTTGATCCATAAAATGATCAGTAAAATGATCTGAACTTCCCATCACTACTGCGCAAAAAGAGCGCAGAGTAAGTTTCATTGAATACAGCTCTCATCTGATTGGCTAAAAAGTAGGAGTTGCCTGCATCTGCCAGGACAGTCTCAAAAATACACACACGTATCCAGGGGGGAGTTATACGTGAAAGAGGATTTGCACATTCTAATTCAGGATGAACTCGGAAGTTTTAAACATTCAAAACTTTTTGTACACTCTTATACATTTGATAATGGTGTTTTGCATTTATGAAACGTATTTTATGAAAATGTATTTTTACTTTGTGCATGTGAATTGTTTTTGTGAATATAAATAAATATTTTACGCACGTAAATTTGGTTTTATGCACGGGAATTTAGCTACGCATGGGTACATTGTGTCTTTTGCGTGAATTTCTTTTGAGTCTTATCTGACTCCATAACTTTCTTGTGCGCTCTCAAATAAACACTGCTAAAGTAATTTGCTCTCGCTCAGTGAGAGGATGCGGACTTCAATTCATGGCTTGTGTAATGTGTTTCCTTTTCCTTTCGTGCTTTTGCTCTCCAGAGATCCTCCTGTTCAATTAGTTGTCCCTATTATAATAACATTAGATCTATTTATATAAATCTATAATATAATAGATTAATATTCAACTTAAATCTTATAATAATGTTTGTGACTCTTACTAATCAAACAAAATCATTATAAAAAATATTTCTCAAGATCTACAGTATCTGTGCAGTGTGGAGATGGACCCAGGAGTGTTGTTAAAAAGTGGTATTAAAGTATTTACCCTGTATACAGTTGCAAAAAATAATGATAAGAAGATTAATTAATTTGGTATTAGATTGTGAATATATTTATAACGTATTAATTAAAAGGTAGTACAGATATCAAATAAAACCACCCAGTAGGTGGCGGCAGGACAACACACGAGGAGATAATGCTAACTAATGGAGGACTTAGCATTCAATTAACACATACAATTAATACACAAATACACTTCATTAAACATGTACACTAAATACTATAAAATCACAGGTTATCTGTGTCTGTATATAACCTAATAATACCTTTGTACTTGTATTGTAATGCAATAATATGCACCTTCGTAAAGCTGCTGTGAAACAATAATTATTGCAAAAAGCGATTTATACAAATAAACTTGAATTGAAGAACTGAATTAACAAAATAACTGGCAACATTCCGGCAGAATGTGTATTAAACAAAGTGAAACTTAAGTGGAACTGTAACCATAATATATAATTTACTTGTTTATAATACTATTACAGTACTTATATATTCTATTTAAAAGCTTTGATATATGTTTTGGTCTTTTTGGTCTTTAATTCTACTACAACTTACTTTTTTAATTCTATATTTCGCTTTATTTCAAAGGCAAGTTTTAAACATTCATTTTATTTTTAATTTTATTTCAGTGGCAACATTTCACAATTACATTACAATTGTTAGCATAACTACATTAGCTCTAGTTTTAGTTTAAATAAACAAAGGCACACATCACACTGCCAGAAAACATAAACTGTTTATTCCTCTGTCTGTAAACTCAGTTATTAAAACAGGCTGACTAAAACTGGTCTCTATACATTCAATAATTTTAACAAACTGCTTGATGAAGTGATAGTACTTCAAAAGAATAAATAATGCTAATATATACAAAAATAAAGTTCTCAGCATGTTTCTGAATCTGAGTATTAAAATGTTAATTAATCTCATTTATAATAACTAAGCAATTTGATTATATGATGGGGGGTTTAGTTTATAAAATATATTTATAATATATTTAAAATATATATTTTTGTATGTGTTGAACCTACAGTAGGAACCAGGAGGAACAATGCAGTTGCTGTCCAGGCCGTGGTACACGGACCAGCTCTATACCCTCACCAGGGTGATCGAGGGTGGGAGTAACCAGTCCACATGTGTTTTGTGAACTTGGAGAAGGCATTCGACCGTGTCCCTTGTGGCATTCTGTGGAGGGTGCTCTATGTCTATGGGGTCAGAGGCGCTCTGTTAAGGACCGTCTCATGATCCTTGTATGAACAGAGTAGGACTAGGAGTCTGGTTCGCATTGTCGGCAATAAGTCAGACTTGTTTCCAGTGCATGTTGGACTCCAGCAGGGCTGCCCCTTGTCACCAATTATATTCATAAATTTTATGGACAGAATTTCAAGGCGCAGCGGCCTGGAGGGGGTCTGGTTCGGAGACCGCAGGATTTCATCTCTGTTATTCGCAGACAATGTTGTTCTGTTGACTTCATTGAACATGAGCCTATTGGATGCTCTGGGGCAGTTTGCTGCAGAGTGTGAAGTGGCTGGGATGAGAAATCAGCACCTCCAAGTGTGGGGCCATGGTTCTCCACCGGAAAAAAGAGGGTTTGTCATCTCCAGGTTGGAGGAAAGTCCTTACCCCAGGTCGAGGAGTTCATGTATCTTGGGGTTTTGTTCACAAGTGAGGGAAGGCTGAAGCATGAGATTGACAGGCAGATTGATGCAGCAGCAGCAGTAATGCAGTCTGAAAGGACAAGATCTCAAATACAAGCGGTCGAAATGAGTTTCCTTCGCAGGGTGGCAGGCCGCACCCGTATGGATAGGGTGAGGAGCTCTGACACATCGAAAGAAGTCAGCTGATGTGGCTCAAGCATCTGTTTCGGAATTCGGATGCCTCTTGCACGCCTACCTAGGAAGTTGTTCCAGGCATGTCCCACTGGGAGGAGGCCTCAGGGAAGACCCAGGACACGGTGGAAGGACTATGTCTCTCGGCTGGCTTGGGAAGGCATTCCCCCGGAGGAGTTGGAGAAAGTGTCTGACGAGAGGGAAGTCTGGGGTTCTCTCCTAAGACTGCTGCCCCTGTGATCCAGCCCCGGAAAAGAATGAATGAAAATGAATGATTGAATGAATGAATGAATGAATGAATGAATGGATATTTTTATGTATAACTATTATTAAAATAGTTAACAGTATAGGTTTTTATGCTGTTTTATGCAATTATGCTGATCAATTCTTACTCCCTATGATATATGCAAAGGCATCAAATCTTTCAAATGAAAATAGCAATAAATTAATGAGTAAAATAATTCTATAAATGATGCAAGATATCCAATCATATAATGCTACAAGACACACAATTCTGTCAATAATTATCGACTTGTTTTACCTTAATGTTGCAGAATAATGTGAAGTTCTTAGAAAGTTAAAAGCCTATTTGTTTGCTATTATTAATATTACTATTATTGGTGTTGTTGTTAATGCTTAAACAATACAGAGCTGCTTTTAGACCACTTTTATCCACTTAAGTCAAATACTTGAATTGGCCAAAAGAGGGCATCAAGCGTAATTCGACAGTCTGGTTGAGCAGGACAGTAATCTATATAACACTGATGACTGACAATGAGAAAGTCATTTACCTCTCGTATCTTTTATCAGCAACACGGTATAACAAGGTATTTTTATATCCCTATACTGACATCCATTTGTCTTAAAATACTTCGTTAACTTAAAAGTGTTTTTATTCTCATTTGGAGTTGATCACTGTGCTTTTTCTTGTGATTTTGGTCCGTTTCAGATGTCTGCTGTGCGCGCTCTCCTTTTGCTGATATTGGGATTTACAGTGCTGAAGTTCATCTGCTGTTACAGTGATGGAAGTTTATTAAATGACCAGTGTCAAAGTATGGCTATAGATCATGGATCACAAGCATCAGGACAAGATTCAAACCCTTTCACCGTTGTTCCAGATAACGTGACAGTGGATATTTCGAAAGTGGGAATGAGCATCACAGGTAGAATCTTAAGTTTTTTGAATCTTGAAGACTTTTTATCCAAAGCAGCTTAGGGAGCTTAGAGAGTGGGTACAAATAATGAGCAGTAATGAAGGCAAACCATATTTTTTTTTACAAATAACACACAAGCCTCTTCTACTACAAATGAGCACTGACTGTTTAATTTTCCAAAGTAATTTTCCTGCTGTTTTAAAACATTCCCTAAATGTTGAAACTAAAACATTCACAGTAAGTTAATTTCTTTATTTTCACATGTCTTATACACAATTCTCATGGGGCCAATTGATTTAAATTAACTCCCACATATAAACCAAATGTATGCTGATGTGTTATCTTGCCCTATAATTTAGCAAAATTATTTGATTGTAGCTTTATCAGAACAGTTTTTCAGGGGAGGGGAGTCGTTGAGAAGTTCAATACAACACAACAAAATAGTAGTAATTTTAGAAGGGAACACGAATAATACAGTCGAATTTTACTAATAAAGTTTTGTCCTCACAGTCATTATTTTTGGTTAGGGAAGGGTGGGTCAGTCAGTTGGTCAGTCAGAGACTGCAAAGGAGAGCTGGTGAGAGATGGATCTAATTTTTCGCTCAATAATTTGATGCTTCTCATTTACAATAAAAATAAGTAATTAAAAAAAGGTTTACATTTTTATTTAAAATGAATTAAGACAGTGTAGAATAGAAATTGGGGCAGTGCGGTGGCGCAGTGGGTAGCGCTGTCACCTCACAGCAAGAAGGTCGCTGGTTCAAGCCTCATCTGGGTCAGTTGGCATTTCTGTGTGGAGTTTGCATGTTCTCCCCGCACTGGCGGGTGATCTGGTTTTCCCCACAGTCCAAAGACATGTGGTATAGGTCAATTGGGTAAACTACATTAAATTGTCCTTAGTGTATGAGTGTGTGTGTATGTGGATGAGAGTGTATGGGTGTTTCCCAGTACTGAGTTGCAGTTAGAAGGGCATCCACTGCGTAAAAAGATATGCTGGATAAGTTTGCGGTTCGTTCCACTGTGTCAATTAATAAAGGGACTAAGCCGAAAAGAAAATGAATGAATGAATAGAAATTGATTATACAAAAAATACAGGGGTTATTTTGGAAATAGCACAGTGTTTATTTAGCTAATGCACCGCTAAACAATATGCTAATTGTAGCCATTAAAATAAATGAGTAAATATAGAAATCACTACTTTCTATAGAAATCAATACATTCACGTTTAGAAATATTTCTACACAAAGTTTTATAAATGAGACCCCTTGTAGACATGCAAGATAGATGAGAATAAATAAATATTTCTGAATAAATTACAGCACAAAAAAGAGGGACATGTTTTCACTATTCAGCTGTCGTTTCTCCATTACTTTGTTGTACATTCCTGTATGTCCATGATGATATATTGCCTTTGTTAAACTTTAGCTATTTGGGTAAATGGTTTTCTAATGAGTCATGGAGGAAGACAAGGTGACAATATTTGCTTTTGGTCTTTTGGATAATTCCTTTGGCTGGGTTCACACAGATTACCGTGTTGTTCGCTCCTCAAGCAAAATTTTAAGCATGCAATATTCTGTCTCAAGCCCCCAAAAATCTCATATTCCGTATTGCTGCTAGTGCTATTCTTTAGTCTACGCTACAAGAAAGGTTTCAATACTTTAATGGTACAAAAAAAAGTTGCCTTTTCAAATTTTTCAGCGAAATGTTTAACTTTTTCCACAGTGACGCTCTCGACTTCTTCTGGTACATTTATGGGTTATATGTTGGAGGCTCGAGAGTGTGAGAATTGTCCACCGGCTGGTACTTTTAGTTTGCTTGACTCGGCCAACAGTCTGCTCCTCTGTGGCGTAAGTCCTGCCACACACACATACACACACAAGCAGCGATTGGCGATTTGTGATTTATGAGGACTCTCCATAGACTCTCCTCAGACCTGCGTCAAAAATTGTATGTAAAACCCTGTTAGGTATAATTGTAAACAGTTTTATAATTCGAGACACAGGGTATGTCCTTGTCAACCGCCTCAACATTTTAATAGGTCTTACACATGTCATTTTACAAAACCAATATAAACAAGCACGCACGCACACACACACACACACACACACACACACACACACACTTTTTTACACTCTTTCTTACAGGCTTCTCAGAGCAATTGTTAAATGTTAACAGCTGTAAATTCTAGAAACTAAAGTCAGGTGTTTATCTTATGTATTTATTAGGACAAGGCCGTGACTCATCCTAATAACTTGGATAAATCTTCAGTCCAAGTGACATGGATGTCTCAAGCCACTGGACAGTTTTTCTTCAGGTACATTCTAGTGATGCTTTGAGGAAAACAATACACACTTTGTGCACAGGTTGACCAAAGCTTTTTAAATAAATTAAGCAAATTAAATTATTATTGTATTTTATAAAATGTTTTGCATTATGTGGAGATTAGTGATTGGTCGAAACATAGAAACCCACCTGGCTGCTGGCATTTTGAAAGTAGATTGTCAGAGCAACACAAAAGAAATTGCAGAAGTATAAATGTGTAAATATATGTGTAAAGCATGCACCATGAGTTATGGCGATCACTAGACCCAGAACTAGAAATCAGCCTTAAGACAAAATAAAAGGGAAACAATTATTCATGGCTTTGTTGCAGTTTATACTGCTGGTTTGTAAATCTGTTTTCTGGTTTTCTTTTCAGAGCTGCATTCATTAAAAATTACAGTTTATTTTGGACAAAAAAAGCAATCATGCTCTTGACAACAACAACATCGCAGACGACAATGTCGCCGCCGACAACAACACAGACAATGACACAAACAACGCAGAGAACGACACAAACAACGCAGAGAACGACACAAACAAAAATGCCCACAACTACGCAAACAACAACAAAGACACCTACGATGCTGCAGATGATGACTACAGCCACTACAACAACTAACACCACTGTAACAACTAGGCGTACAACATTGGGTAATAATAAAAACTTTCATACTACTTATAGCAGCAAAAGTATCAAAACCCTCAAACAGTGGCCAAATAAATATATTAAATGGGCAGTTCCCCCAAAAATGAAAATTCTGTCATTTAGTAATTACTAACCCTCCACTAACAACTGTTTTAGTTTATTTCTTCAGTTGAACACAAAATAATACATGTTGAAAAATGATGGAAATCAGTAGCCTTTGAATTCAATAATATACTGTATTTTATTACAATGTATGTCAATGGGTACTTGCTTCCAGAATTCTTCCAAATATCTTCTTTTGTGTCCAATACAAAAATCTCAATGGCTTGAAACCACTTGAAGGTGCTACATTTATTAATAAATTTTTTTTTTTTTTTTGAGTGAAGTATAACTTGAATCAGTAGCATTTTTGTATAATTTTTAATGTTTTATTGTGTTTGGAAATCACTCACTTTCTCCTGCGATCTCCTAATCAAACACACACAAACTTCAATTCAAATGGAAAAAGTGTCTGTTGCCAGGGCTACTTGTTTTGCAATTCAAAATTTACATGAGATTCTCAACTGTGAAATGTGTGATTAATGAAAACCTGATAAACATCTTCTATACATCATCTTAACATGTCTTGACATGTGGCTGCCATATTATAAGAGGAATAAATCACAATGGAAAATTTAATAAAATTAAATTACGCAAACACAATGTAGTGATATGGCCACGACTCAGAGCACTTTGATTTTAATATACATTGGGAAAAATAAAATCCAATATAGGAAAACTGATATCTTTACCTGATATTCAGAGATACTGATGTTATGTTGATGTAGATTGCTGAAGAGAAAATAATTACCTATAAATACGCATAAATGAAAGCAATAATACTTTTAATAATGTTCTCGTCATGTCTCATAGACATATCCACTGCACCACCAACTTCTGCAGTCAGCAGTACACAAACAGGTCTAACTGTATTCACAACACCAAACCTACAGGCTACAGGTAAATATTGTCTTCATAAACAAAATCAAATGTAATAATTAGATTTATTCAAGTAAATATATTACCTAGAACAATCAAATATAACCACAGTTTAGTGACTGATCGTGTTACAATAGAGTAAAAAATATAAACGCTTTTGATTTCACCACTGCCGAATAACCTTATTTTTTAATGTAGTCCTGTAAACAGGGTTTGGTTGAATTTGCTGGGTTAAAAAATTATGTGTAATGTGTAAACCTATAAATCAGGTTCTTTTAATAAGCAGATTTTTTTGCCAGTTTTCAGCATACTGACGTGCATGTAAACAGTGTAATAAAGCACACTCAAGGTGGAGATATGACATGAAAAATAGCACATGAAAATATACACTGTCAAAAAAATTATAATTCCAGGCCTAGGCAAACTAATATCTTTGGCTGTTATTCAACTGATGTTATGCTGATGTAGATTTTTTACATATTTTCTGCATATTGCTGTGATGTTAGTGCATAATAACTTTATAGAATGGCAATTATATGAATTAAATTTAAATGATATGAATTCTGTGTTTCTACAGTCAATACTACACAAACAGATCCAACTACAAACACAACAGTAATTACAACATCAGACATACAATCACAGACTACAGGTAAATAACATCATATACAGACAGAATTATTAACCCTTTATGAAATGTTTATTCTTTTTCAAATATTTTACAATTAATGTTTGAGAGCAAAGACACTTTTCAAGTATTTTTCATAATAGTTTTCTTTTGGAGAAAGTCTTATTTACTTAAATTTGGCTGCACTAAAAGTAGTTTCAAAGTAAATAAAATGAATAACAACTATAATTTTAAGATAAAAAAAGATTAAAGTAAATCTAACAGGAAGTAAAACATTACCAGAATTTTGTGTGTGTGTGTGTGTGTGCGTACAATGGAACAATATAATGGAATGATAACATTATAAAATTAACATAATTAACGGAATTGAAAAATAATGCACATTCGAGGTGGTGATATGGCCACCCTGAAAGCAAATAAAAATACTGTCAAAAAATTAATATCCAGCGTAGGCAGATAATATCTTTAACTATTATTCAAACATACTGATGGTATGTTGATGTAGATTTTTTTTTTAACCTATACTGCATATTAGTGTGATGTCAGAGCATAAAAGCTTTTTGGACCAACAATAAAACAACAATTCTGTTTCTGTGTTTCTGTTTCTAGTCAATACTACACAAACAGATCCAACAACAAACACAACAGTAATTACAACATCAAACACACGATCACAGACTACAGGTAAATAACATCATTATATATGTAAACTTTTGAAGCCAAAATTATTTAAGCCTCCTGTGAAATATTTATTCTTTTTCAAATATTTGTCAAGCACTAATGGAGCAAGGAAGATTTCACAGTATTTCTACCAACATTTTTTTTTCTGAAGAAAGTCTTATTTGTTTTATTTCGGTTGGAATAAACACAGCCTTTTTATTTGACCGTTTTAAGGTCAGTATTATTAGCCAATTTAAGCTTTTTTCAATACAAGCATTAATGCTGAGTGTATTTTCTGTTTCTATATTTCTACTGTTTCTGCAGTCAATACTACACAAACAAAACCAACAACAAACGAAAAAACAACATCAAACACACAGACTGCAGGTAAATAACATACAGACAAAATGATTAGCCCCCCGTGAAATTTAGTATGTATTTGTAAGTACAGTATGTGTGTGTGTGTGTGTGTGTGTGTGTGTGTGTGTGTGTGTGTGTGTGTGTGTGTGTGTGTGTGTGTGTGTGTGTGTGTGTGTGCGTGTGCGTGTGTACAGTTTTTTTTTGTTAAATATTTCCTAAAAGATGTTTAACAGAGCAAGGAACTTTTCACATTACTAGTAGACAAGTCTTTTTATTAAATTTTTCAGAAAAACTTTTTTAACAGAGCAACTAAAACATATACAAGAACAAAGTACATGAAAAAGGGGGAAAAGAAAATACAAGGTGAAAAAAGGTAAATAAATAAATAGTAAAATTAAGAGATTTAAGGGTGAGTAGGAGGGCGGGCTTACAATTCAAGTATTTGGAATAAATCTTTTCTCGAAATATGACAGGGATGGTCTCCAAACTTTGAAGAATCTATTATTTGAGCCGTGGGTGCTATATTTGAGTTTTTCTAGCTTTAGATATGCCATGACATTTTCTACTCATTTAGTATGTGTTTATGTTTTAGTTGACTTTCAATGCAAAAGTATAAGCCTTTGGGCCAACAAAGAAGAGAAAGCTAGTGCATTTGACCGGCTGGTAGTGCAAGGTCTCCAGGTGTCACCTCAAATATTACTATTACTGGATCTGGTTGTATCTGCTTTTCACATGTATAAAGAAAAAGTCTCAAACACTGCAGACCAAAATGGTCTAAGGGGTGGACACGTCCAGAACATGATATGACCCAAGGTGGCCTCATCTCTGTGGCACCTAGAACATGTTGGATTAATTTCTGGTAATATTCTTGACAATTTGCTTTTAGAAAAGTGCAGTCTATGCATTATCTTAAATTGTAATAAACTGCGTTTGATGCAAATAGATGTTGAGTGAATTTCTTCCCACTGTTTCTTTTAAAAATCTAAAGACGGTGCGGCTGCACTTTGAATCAGACTGTACACTTTAAGCTGCATACCAGTGTCTTAAAATTTTCTAGTCAAATATTATTTACTGTCATCATAGCAAAGATAAAATAAATCAGTTAGAAATGAGCTATTAAAACTATAATGTTTAGAAATGTGTTGGAAAAATCTGCTCTCTGTTAAACAGAAGTAGGGGAAAAATTAACAAGGGGGCTAATAATTCAGGGGGGTTAATAATTATGACTTCAACTGTACATATATAATTTAAAGTCAAAAAAGTAAAAGCCAACACAACAGTTATCCAGCCTAGGCAAACTAATATCTTTGGCTGTTATTCAAACATACTGATGTTATGCTGATGTAGATTTTTACATATTTTCTGCATATTGCTGTGATGTTAGAGCATAAAAACTTTATAGGATGGCAATTATATGAATTAAATATAAATTATATGAAGTCTGTGTTTCTACAGTCAATACTACACAAACAGATCCAAACACAACAGTAATTACAACATCAGACATACAATCACAGACTACAGGTAAATAACATCATATACAGACAAAATGATTTCACTAGTGTGAAATTTAGTATGTATTTGTATGCATCTGTATGTATGTATGTATGTATGTATGTATGTATGTATGTATGTATGTATGTGTGTGTGTATGTGTGTATGTACTGTATGTATGTATGTATGTATGTATGTATGTATGTGTGTGTGTGTGTGTGTGTATGTGTGTATGTACTGTATGTATGTATGTGTTTATGGATGTGTGTATGTTTGTATATATAAGTCAAAAAAGTAAAAGCCAGTGAAACAGTAAAATATTAGCATAATTGTGGCACTAGTGTTTTATCTCTGTTTATCACAACAGTTTTGAGGATCCACGTGCAGTTTATTTAAGAGAATCGTCAGGCAGACAACGATTAAAACAGATGCAAACTGGAGCATATAGGTAATCCAAAAACACAGTCAGAATAACAGGAGAAGATCAGCAAAACAAGAACAATAAACACGTGGTCAAAACCACAGAAGACAAGACAAGAAAATGGCTTAGTAATGCTCACTGGGGAAAACGACACTCAGCCCAGTGTGTGTGAAAGTTAAGTGTAATTTTAGTGCCAGTAATCAGTCTTCATGAGCTTTAACTGTGTGTTTGCAATCAGCTGTAATCTGGAACTGGTGTTGGTGAGGTGCATGATGGGAAATGTAGTCCAGTACAGTTGCAGATGTGTAGTAGTGTGAATAATTTAGTGAGTAGCTGCATCCCAGATGGCACACTATGCACTTTTGAACTATAAACTTATGCACTTACACACTTAACAGCATAGTATATGTATGTAGTGTCCCAAAGGGAGCACTAATGTTTTTTTTTTTACTAAGCGGAACTTCAATTTATATTTTGTTTTGTTTTTGTTGTTTCCCATGTGATGTTTGACGGTTGTAAAAATCTGTGAAATAAATGACCAAACTACCAAATAATACCTGCCATGAGTATAACCGCATTCACCATCTGGAGGCGCTATAATAACTCTCATAAGAGAATATTGCTTTAACAACCAAAAATAAATAAAGTAATTCAACGCCTGGAAGTTACAACTTAACTTATACTGCATATTAGTGTGATGTCAGAGCATAAAAGCTTTTTGGACCAACAATTAAACAACAATTCTGTTTCTGTGTTTCTGTTTCTAGTCAATACTACACAAACAGATCCAACAACAAACACAACAGTAATTACAACATTAAACACACGATCACAGACTACAGGTAAATAACATCATTATATATGTAAACTATTGAAGCCAAAATTATTTAAGCCTCCTGTGAAATATTTATTCTTTTTCGAAATATTTGTAAGCACTAATGGAGCAAAGGAGATTTCACAGTATTTCTACCAACATTTTTTTTTCTGAAGAAAGTCTTATTTGTTTTATTTCGGTTGGAATAAACACAGCCTTTTTATTTGATCGTTTTAAGGTCAGTATTATTAGCCAATTTAAGCTTTTTTCAATACAAGCATTAATGCTGAGTGTATTTTCTGTTTCTATATTTCTACTGTTTCTGCAGTCAATACTACACAAACAAAACCAACAACAAACACAAAATGATTAGCCCCCCGTAAAATTTAGTATGTATTTGTAAGTACAGTATGTGTGTGTGTGTGTGTGTGTGTGTACAGTTTTTCTTTGTTAAATATTTCCTAAATGATGTTTAACAGAGCAAGGAACTTTTCACATTACTAGTAGACAAGTCTTTTTATTAAATTTTTCAGAAAAACTTTTTCTGTAATCTGGAAATGGTGTTGGTGAGGTGCATGATGGGAAATGTAGTCCAGTACAGTTGCAGATGTGTAGTAGTGTGAAAAATTTAGTGAGTAGCTGCATCCCAGATGGCACACTATGCACTTTTGAACTATATACTTATGCACTTACACACTTAACAGCATAGTATATGTATGTAGTGTCCCAAAGGGAGCACTAATGATTTTTTTTTACTAAGCGGAACTTCAATTTATATTTTGTTTTGTTTTTGTTGTTTCCCATGTGATGTTTGACGGTTGTAAAAATCTGTGAAATAAATGACCAAACTACCAAATAATACCTGCCATGAGTATAACCGCATTCACCATCTGGAGGCGCTATAATAACTCTCATGAGAGAATATTGCTTTAACAACCAAAAATAAATAAAGTAATTCAACGCCTGGAAGTTACACCCCTTCCGCTACGTCAGCAAAACTGCATTCATTTAGTGCGGGAAGTGTCCATCATTCAACACTTTGTGCATCATCCAGATAATTAAAGTGTGCTTATTAGTTTTCAGTGTGAACGCACTACACTATTTATACTACAAAATAGTGCAGTGTTTCCTAGCGGTCTGTAAATGCACCCTCTTTCTAAATGTGTGTGTGTGTGTGTGTATATTTATATATATAATATATATATATATATATATATATATATATTTATTTATTTATTTATTTATTTTTTTTTTTATGCATGTATGCACACACACTCCTGACTATCAGGAATTTAAATATTTTCCAGTTACTTTTTCTTAATTTTCCCAACTGCTTGAAAGACAGCTCTCAGATTTCACCTAAATATCTTAATCTGTGATTTGAAGAAGAAAAAAAGGTTTCAATAGTTTGGAATGACATGAGGATGAGTAATTGATGAAATAATTTTCATTTTTGTGTGAACTAACCTTTTAAGGTTTCATGGAGGTTAAATGTTCTCTGAGGAACCACAGTTTAAAAAAGATTGATGGATAGATTCAACCATAACACCTGTCATCTGTTTTCATTTACATGTAGTGACGCCATCATACCGGTTGCAGTGTGTGCAGTATATGGTATGTAGACTACAAATATATATCACAGTACATATCCTAAAGAATGCTGCATAATAATACTACAGACATTCTTCCACTTTGCTCATTTGGTCTTCATTTTTACTCTATAAATGTTCATGTTGTGGTTATCAAAACATGTATATTTGAGAACGATTTGAGTTTTTTTTTTTTTTTTGCTTTGTGTGCATATTTGAACATGTCTGTGTCTGTCTGTCTGTTCACACCAGAGAAGTGGTGTGGCACTGTTGTTATTTAGCAGACTTTGTTTTCTTGGAGGCTCTTCTCTCCTCATGATCATCAAGCCAGTTTCAAAGATGGTAAGTGTGTCAAATAACACATACACAATGACGTGATTTAACATGGTTCCTTCAGCTTAAAGAAATAGTTCACCCAGAACTGAAAATATATTTACACTATTTACTTTCCCTCATGTGCTTCTAAACCTTTGTAAGTTTTTATTTTTTCTAATCCATAGTAGAAAAAAAACAAACACTATTGAAGTTAATGTTCACCAGTTTTCAGACGTCTTTTATGTTCAACAGAAAAAAGAAACTCAAACTGGTTTGTGACAAGTGAAGAGTGAGTAAATGATGACAGAATGATCAGTTTTGGGTGAACTATCCCTTTATAATTCATTGAATTCATAATGTAAATAACAAATATATACATTGTGTGTCTCCTCACAGCCCACCCAGATTGCATCCATCATTGAACTAATATCCAAAATTATCACTACTGTCCTTGTACTAATAAAAGTAGTTCATGTAAGAATTTTTTCGAGTACATTACAGTTTAAGAACTTTTTTCAAACTGAATATGTGGTTAAGATATGAAGCAAATTTAACATCTAATTTAGTTCTCCTTGTTGTGTCTGTTTATGTTTGTGGCAGTACGACTGTGAGAATGCTGGTTTGCAGTTTGTGTTTGCTGCTTTAATAGTGATTGCAATGATTACAAGCCTGATGCACACCATCACTGTCTTCCTTCACCGCGGACTAAGCCATGAATTGTGAGTGTTAAATTAACATATCAGCACCAATATAATTTGACCAACTAGAAATGATAACAAACTATTTTCCAAACAAGTTTTTGTCTGGTATGGTCAGAAAAAAAAGAGAGACTCAGTCTCAATTCATCATTAGCTGAAATGTTTTTGTACTGGGTTTTTACTGGTCTGGCTCTTTGACTAATAAGGCCACTACTAAACAGGACAAATTAACATGAGACCAAAACCCCATATAATTACAGATGAGAGTGGATTGTCCTGTAAGTACTGACAGTGTTTAAACGAAAGAACAACTTTTTGAAAAGAAGATTCCTTTAAGTATAATGATTCTTCTTATCTAAAAACAAACATTATTCTATAAAATAGACAGAATAATTACATACCTATTTGAGAAATAGACTGTGTTGCTATTGGTATAAAGTGTCATGAAACTTACCCTATGAAGTCTACCTCAGAATTTTTTCCAAAAAATGCTCCGAGATGGGCGTGGAATGCTTCGAGCGGAAGCAGCAGTGGGCGTGGCTGGCAGAGCAGGGGAAAAAGAGGGGAGCAAACAACTGTCAGTTGGCTCACAAAATCAGACTGAAAATAAAATCAGAGACTGAATGTGAGGAAAGTTATATAGTTTACAAAGTTAAAATGCAAAATAAATAAACAGTAAGTGATTTAATGCCCTGCTAAAAATACAATAGGTTATTCGTAATTTCAAATAATATATACACATAATTGGTGACCTTTGAAATAAAGACTAAGCCGAAGGAAAATAAATGAATGAATGCATATACACATAACCACAATTTGTTATATTATTATAAAGCTAATCATGTTAATATAAACACTCTAAATGAGGAGGACTTCTCCACTCCGAATCCCTGGATCTGAATGCAGACACAGTGGATAGCAGTACAACAGGTTTCTTGCCATCTACTTCATCCTTTAACCCTGCTGGTAATCTATGATTTTAAACATGGGCAAACACAGCAGCAGGAAGGCAATGTGTCTTAATTGTAAAAAACTCAACTGACAAAAGACAAAGTCAACCATTCTCCAATTCTCATACAGTTCTCCTGACAAAAATGCTTGCTGCAAATCAACAGCTTTGCTGTAATAATGAGAAACTGACGTGTCATCACTCCACTAGCAGATGAGCGCTACATCACCGCCCCCAAAAAATCTTAGATGAAATTAACTGACAAAAGCTCAAAATTATTCAGGTTTCTCCACAATTAAAGCTGACAGGTGCTAATGTTGTCTTAATTGATGCAAAGCACACATAAATCTGTTAAAACCTCCAAAAAGTATGCAGGGTTTCTTGACCCTTTAACATTGTGGCTACAAGTATGTGAGTCATATCAAATGATAAAAAAATGTCTGGAAGTGGACAAAGTAGACAAGCACACAAGGCTTCAGACTCTGTTTAAACCTTAATTGAATTGATATAAATATAATATATCTTACATATAATATATATATTATCTTACAGAAAAACGTGTTGGATTGGTTCTCTCATAATAGTTGATCTACTGAATACACTCATTACATGTAAGTTTTTTCCCGCATCCTCCAATATTAAATGACCTTTTTTTTTTATTTGTATTAATTATTGATTAATTTATAATATTAATAAGTAACCAATTTTTCTCTAATTGGCATAGATGTAAATAGTTACTCATCCAAAGCTCTTTAAAGCTCAGATAAAGCTGATAAAATCTTTTGTTTATTACTGATCTTCTTTTTTCTATTTATACTGTAGCCATGTCAATATTTTATGGCTTATGGTGGTTTCAAGGGCGCTGGATGCTAATAGTAATGACAGTTTATGTTACGTTGGAGTTCATCCTTTACCTTGGAGCAGCTGTTTTTAAACGGATGGAAAAATACAAGAAGTACTTTATTAAAAGAAATACTAAGAGAGTGGAACGTAAGTATATTTGGTACTAACATGCTAGAGACTACTTTGTACAAATCTTTAGACAGTTTTAAAGATTTTTATCTGTCACTGTACTTTCTTGATCTGCACTTTAAAAATAAGATTCATTAAACTCAACCCTACATTACATATATTTACTCATGACCACTGTCTCATCATATTGTATTTGTATTTTACAGAAAATTGTACTGTTCTGGAAAACAAGGTATGTGAAATTTACATAGTTTTTCCACATAAAGTAATTTGTAAAACATTACACCTCTTTCCACTGAACCATACGTGTCGACCTGATCTAGCTTGTATTACCTTATATATACATCTCTGTACATGTTAAGGATAGTATAATATTCACTCTTTTTTTATATATATTTTAGTGTGCATTTGAATAATACATTTAAAATGAGTTGGTGCAAACTAAGCCCACTAACCTGTATAGAAGTGTCTAGAAAGATATCTAGTCAAATATTATTTACTGCCATCATCAGTATTTTTTATTCAAAAAATAAAATAAATCAGATATTAGACATGAGTTATTAAAACTATTATGTTTAGAAATGTGTTAAAAAAAATCAGCTCTCTGTTATACAGAAATTGGGGGAAAAACAGAGAGGTCAATAATTGAGGGGGCTAATAATTCTGACTTCAAATGCACATTGGGGTGTATCAATATTTGCACTGTTCAGATTTACTACACTTTCGTTATGTTCAGGATAAAAAAACATTTACTAAATTAAATTGCTGTAAAAAGCCACATCAAATAAATATATATATTTTTTAATCTATTAATCAAATTCAGTACTGATCAAAACTGATCAAAATCTAAATATTTTTAAAATCTACAGGACTTTAGCTCTTTAATTGTCAAGTTCATAAATGATTTCACTGATTTGATAATTTAGTAGTTTTGACTGAGGTTTATTAATGCAAACAAAATTTAAGTAGTGAAATGTACAGTCCGCCATCCCCTGTCTGAGTACTATAAATGGATATAAACGTCCAGTTAAAAAACTCCTTAAGTCAACGCTACCATTTTTAGAGACAGTAAAATGTCTAAAAAATATACAAACAAAACAGATTTAATAGATTGGGTGCAGGTGATACTGTATGTTGACGTCATATGAAGCAATTTTTTTTTTGGTCTGTGCAAAAACCTAAAATGAAACAGCTCACACTTCAAAATGTTGTAAATACCCTCAGTACCCAATTCTGCTGTGGATTACAGGTAATTATATTATATGTAATGTTTCATTTTGTGCACAGACAAGTAATTTTCCTTCCTTGTCAGCATCCACATACAGTATATCGTTTTGATTTAACTGTAAGTCTATATATAGTCATTTATCGCTATAAAATGCCACAGCTTAAATCAGTTTTCTTTTTTTATTTGCAGAAACCCCCATGGTTCTTGATGTTTGTCATTTGTTTAGTGTTTTATGTAATGTTTACAGTTGCACTTATTGTCGGAGTGTCTTTGCTTTGCTTTCAAGCTGGGTCTTCGTGTATGTTGCTCAATTAGTCTGTATACATATATTTGCATGTAACTTCATAAGGACCTGCCTGCTTTGAAACGATTTTTTTTCTCTAGCACATGAACCAATTTCTTGCACTATTTTCTTTTGTATACATGTGTCTATTAAACTTTGTGTGGATATGTATAATGTACTTTCTGCAATCTGAGTGGAGGATACTAAAAAAGCCATTCTGAAAGGGAAAAAAAACCTTACAAAATATGATGATGTTTTTAAATGTTGCTCCCCAAAGTTCAGATAATGTCTTATCATTTATGTAACCATGTCTGTTTCACTTTATGTTTTATTTATTCATGTCACACCCCGTCACGTTAGTTCTCCTGCATTCTTTATTAGTTGTCCCCTTATCAATTTTAGTTAATTGTTTCTTTGTGTGTTTATACCCTGTTCTGTTAGCCCTTTGCAATCAGTAATTTTCTCTGTTAGCCTTGTGATGTCTGTGTGTGCCCAGGTTTGGTTTTTATCCTTTAGCTTGCTTTTGTTTATGTTTTTTTCACTACTTTGTAATTCCTGTTTACCTGCACTTCTCTATAAACACACTGAACTGAATTTGAATCCTCATTTCATCATTTCCCATCACTGACGTAACAATTCACTTTGCTGCTTTACTGTCCTCTGTAAAATGGACAATTTATAACCTTTTGAAATGAGAATTGAGCCACTCTGGATACTTTTACTTCTAAGTGTCCTAAGTATGTAAAAACTTCTAAAGTTTTTGTTGTTGTTATTGTTTGTTATGTTATTGTTTATGCACTTGAGGTTTAAAATGTTTTCATATTTAATCACAAAGTAAATTTGTCACCTATATGAGAGTATAATTGTTGTTGTTTTGAGAATGTAAGCATAGCGGCCTACAAACTCTGCGAGTGTTGAAGCTGGCTTCTGCTGATAAAACTACAAACTATCTTCAGTAAATTTTATTCTTTAATTAAATTTCTGACTCCGGCTCTTCTTCATCTGACAGATTGGTGATTTATGGAATAAAATGGTCAGTTCCCTAGCAACAACTAAACCACAAAACAAACAAACAACAAAGGACATTTTGCATTACACTTCCTCATGTGTCAGTCCATAAGCACAACAATGATATTTAATTTGAGGAAAAAACTGTTCTCTATTTACTTCCTGTTTTGTCTATCAAAAGTTCACTTTTCTGCTCACTTTGTGACTGCCCGATTACTTTTGGGCATTGAAAATAAAATAATTTGCATCAAGTTCCAGGTTTTTTAATTAGCAGTTGATAGCTCAGCATTGCAAACAGGATCTACCAGCCTGATCTCACAAGGAAACTTATACATTTTGGCAGTTTAGAGGGCTAATTCATATGAAATCGTATGAGTTCAGTCGCCATTGGAGGATATAAAAGTTGTATTCAATTGTACGAATGAGATCGTATAAATTCATTTGAATTAGTCACTAAATCAAAAAGGTATGATTTGCCGTGAGATTGTGTTGGATCATTCATATATTTTCACTTGGGTTAAATCTGAACTGAAATGCTGCATGTCATTGTATTCATACGCCTAGTCATTAATCATGATCCCCACTCCATCAAGCTTTAAGTGAATAAGTCAACTCCATGACTTTTTAGCTGATTTTACACTCTCTGGGTAAATTATTTGTACAATTGTGAAATTGAAAATATTCATCAATGTCTGTACTTACTTATCTGAGGGTCCAAATCTAAATTGTCTTTTTATCTAAAGAGTAAAGGTAAGATTTCAACTCTAGAGACATATCTGGATAGACTAGAGAGTCTGATATTACCCAAAAATCTATTCTAGATCTAGGAGAACTTGAAGTATTAGACCAAATAAATTGTAACGTTTGTTTTTTTTTTTCCAAAGAGGAGACCAAACCACATGACCTGATGACAGTCTACAGTATGTCTTTTTGTGGCATCCATAAATATTAGGCTACATAAAATATATAATAAAAAATAAAATAAAAAATGGAAATGGCCTTCAGCATGCATCAGATATTGCCTCAATAATCTTACACTTGAACTTGAGCTTTAAACATCTGCTGAAAAATTTGAACCAGATGAAGAAAATAACTTTTCAGCTCACAGCGATTTTTTACTAATATGATTTCGCTATTTAGAGTTTGCAAATAATACTTTATGAAATTAAAATGAAAAAAAATATATGAAATTATATTATTAAGGGGAAAGTCTGAATGTGCAAATATATAATCAACTTTACCTCTATATCTGGAAACACTAACACCATGACACCAGAACTGTAACACCAGTTAAATTAGCGATAGTTATGACTTAAACCAAAACCTTTAAAACAACAATATTGGTATCTTTAGAAAAAAAAATATATAATTAGATAATTATTTAGTTAAAAAAAAATGAAAAGTGGAACGAAAGATAGACTCACTGTATATACTGATGAAGAGAAAATGTACTTCAGGTGTGTAATGAGCGCAAAGGATTGTGGGGCGGGGGGGGGGGATAGGGGGTAGTGTTGAGGTGTGGCTGGAGATAATAATGGGTGGAGCGCCCTCTAGTGAGTCTCTGATAGAAAGTTTTTTTGTGCATCATTAATTTATTAATACAGCAAAATCAGGCAACAAACTAACATTTTAAAGACAGTTGAAATTCAAACAAAAAAAACACAAAAAAATGAAGACATTCACAAGAAGCAAAAAAAAAAAGATTCATAATAGCTAACAATAGACAGAGCTTTTACATTTTTTACAGCTTTGAGAGACTTCATTAACAGATTACGTTCATTGAGAAAAACCTTGTATAAAGGAGGGGATTTTGAAAGTCTACATTTGTGGATAAAGAATTTACCATTTAACAAAAGTTAATTTTTATCACCATTATTAAAATAACAAATAATTTATTTTGCATTCAAAGTTGTCAACAAATTATTTTTAGCAGAATTTAAAAAAAAAGTCTTTCTAAAATAATCGCATACTCTGACAATCAACAAATAAGTGACATAAATTCACAGTTTTTACAAAATGAACATATATATGTCTCAATATCTGAAAATTTGTAAAGTAACACATTGGTTGGGTATATGTTATTTAAAATATTTAAATGAATTTCTCTCACTTTATTTGAAATGCAAAATGTGTATGGTAGCAGTCATGCTTTTCTCAAACTAATCTCCTATATATAAAGAATTCCAATAAAATTTCCCTCTTGGAATAACTCTATATCATCATTAAATCCTTGCCTTATGTCTTTGTTTGAACATTTTTGTCAAATTTATGTTTACCATTTAACAGGAAATAACATTCTTTATTTTCCTTCTTATAATAGGTCAAATGACTGCACATTAAATTAATTAGTCCCAAGGGGATAGCTTTGATCACTGTCGAAAACTCTTTACATTTACCAGGAAATTTGAATTTTGATAAAAATGATTTATATGAATAGATCCTTAAAGATGAATCAAACAAATCACTTTCATATAGCAACCCATGTTTCAACCAAATATAAACTCTTTCCTTTAACAGTAATCAATTCGTTATTCCAAATTTTCATTCTGTTTGGGTAAATGAAGTAGCTGCTGCTGGGTATTTTGAAAATGACGTAGCGCTATCTGTCTTCATTTGTTATTTACAATAAATTTGCTAATTTTTCAAACAAACTGCTTTCAAACTAATTTTGGGTAGAAAAATGATCTGAATTATTTTTGGAATAAGGCAATAGTAAAATGTGATACATGTGTTACTGTTGTGCAAAAAGAAAAGTAAATTTAAACTATTAACATATAGTACAGAACACTATTTAAGGGCTGTTCCTAAACACAACACATGTTTATTGAGTTTCAAGTAGGTTTGAATGTTGATACTTGAATGAGCTATGATTGAATGAGAATGTTGAATGTTTTTTCCATATTTTTCCAGGGATGTTCATTTTGACGCAGTGAGCCCTGATTATTTTCTTTAATGTACAGCCTTTATACCATTAAGCACTGACAACCAGTTTGTATTCACAGAACAAATGTCAATTATTTCATGCTTTAAAAGATTGCAAATAACACTATTATGGCTAAAATTATTGTGTTTTGAATTCTGGTTCTCTCGTGTGGTTGTGCTGATGATGAACACAAACTCAAACATCTGACATTTTGCAAGTTTTAATCAATTCTCATAAATCTAAATGGTAAATAGTCTAAACATTTAAGTAGCCTACCTAGAGTGTACATATTAGTAGACTTTGACCTACTAAACTCACATTATTATTTTATAGACTCAATTCTTGTTACTAAACTAAAACAATAAAGTGTCGCCATGCATGACTTTTATTCTGGCAGAACAGTGTGAAGTTTTTCATTTGAAGGTATCTATATGTATGTATGTTTGTTTATTTGTTGTTTATTACAATTTTTTTTATTAGGCCTATACATAAACATCACAATACAGAGCTCCTCTAATCAGACCACTTTTCTCCACTTAGATCGAAATAC